GGGGGGGGGGGGGATGGTACTAAAACTGTTTACGACCTTCGTAGCTATTGGATGTAATATTCTGCATCTTGGCATCACTTTTCTTGAAGGCCTAATGCATGACTGACGTTCGTGCTCCAGATATATATCGAGCTCACTGGTCGTATCACTCATATGGTAAAGGTAGGGTAGGGATGGTTATCAGTCTGTCTTGTAGCTGAGGCTTTTAAAGTATTAATTTTAGAAAGTCTCGTATTATTTTAATTATTTGCGGAAGGAAACCGTACAATCCGAAGAACCACCAAAAAGAACCACATTGAATTTATACTCTAACTTATGACTAATACCAGGCTAGGCTTAATTTAAATCGGACGGAAGGGAAACGCGCCAATTATCTCTGGCATCCCTGCTGAAACCGCAGTTGTTGTCTGAAATGGTAGTTATTATGATAATCATTTACGGTTTAATTCTTTGGTTCCTTAATCCCACCAAACGGGGTTTGCGGTTGTTTGAACATGCACTTGTACATGTTGTAGTTCCTTAGTGTTCCGGGCTAAACTGAAATGGTTTTCGAAAAGAAAAACTCAAGCAGTACATACTTTACAATAATACCAGATAATAACGTAAGACTAAGGTATGGAAACTCTATTCGGTGTGCTGCTATCAATATTTAGTATAAATTTCCAGGTGACTATTGATTTTTCTGTATTCTGATTGGTCAAGATTCACTGTCTCTGAAGTGATAGTCACTGGTCAGTGACTATAGCTTTTTTTTCAAAATGGCTGCTCATTTTGCCGTAGTAATAGAAGAGGAAATTGCCAAAATTAAAGAAGATAGCATTCCGAAAAAAAAAAAGCTACAAAATATGGTTTAAAAATATTTCAAGGTAAATATTAAACTTTACGGGCTTTTATTGGGAAAAAAACTGGCTTAGTCGCAACGCGACACAGAGCCGTGTCTGAGATTTAAATTTTGTAAACAAACTATTTATAGCGAAAATAAATTTATTTGAAGTGAATTTTTATAAAGTTGTGTGGATTATTGTTTGTAAACACCTGGAAATTTATACTAAAACAATTAGTCGCCTCAGGCTCGGTGATATTACAAGCCTATATTCACTTCGCCTTCGGCTCAGTGAATATAGGCTTGTAATCACCTCGCTTTCGGCGACTAATTGTTAAATATAAGCCGGCATGCATGGGTGATTATAGCATAGTGTGAAATAGTAATATAGAATAGAAAATAATATAGAATAGAAGTAGCATCATTATAGTATCATGTGAATTGATCAGCCTTCTCTGGAGGAAATATAATTAGCATATAATTATGCCATGTCGCATGTTAGATTATAACCGACGAGTATTACCGAATTGGCATAATGCGAGAACGAACGGTATGTTCTGTATTCTACATATCGGTGCACTTCCGTGTGCACTTCAGAAATACTAATTCGGAAAACAATTTAATTGGATGAAAATTCCATGATAATTTAATAATCTTCGGTTTCATAAAATAATTGAATACATATCATACTTGACGTTCGTCTAGCATTGTACCTGAGAATGAAGTTTACAGTTTTCCATGATTTTAGCAAATGTACAAAACTTTGCAGAACCAGGGGTTGCGATGTTAAAGGCTCAGTGTCACCTGTTGAGCGATGTTATTTAATTGGTAAAAATTTCGTAGACGAACTTTCTCAAATTGGACCTTAAGCGCATGCTCAGCAGTAACTTTTTGCAATTAAAAAACATCGCTCAACAGCAAACATGCAAACACCTCCCTAGTACAGTACATGCTTAAATCATAGCCAGATACAGTACTTTATATCTTTACCAGACGAACACAAAGTGGCAGTGAACCCAAGCGCGGTCAATCTTGAAGAAGCCTGGAACCGACGGGAAGGAAAAGCTAGATTTGGTCAACCAATTAAAACTCCTGCTTTAGCTGAAGATGTCAAAGGTGATTTTATTTTTTATTAAATACCCACCCAAACATTTCATTTGCTCGCATTAGAGGGGTGTTCGTTCGGGTATCCATCCGTGTTACAAAATTACTGATGTCCGTATCATAGAATTTTAGTAATTGTAACTTAATTAACTTGTCTCGTACAATTGGACTGACGTTTATAAGGTACAGACATACAGTACCAAATACAAATAAAGAAATCATGACCGTAAAGGAGTTAGTGTATCAGTGTATGTGATACAAAATCATGTTAATTCACATAAACTTTAAAGATGCTGTAAAGTCCGTAATGTAAACAAACGTTTTGTTTACATTTTGAACTGCTATATTTGAAAATATGATATACTATTAAAACTGAATATCTAACACTTTTCTGGTTCGCTGTGCTTGTAAATGAATAGATTCGTTTCAATTCAAAAAAAGTTAGAAAGATGCAAAATTTGCCAAGGTTAAGTTTATATCTGCGGGTCCCCCTTTGTCATGAGCAGAACTGATGCGCAGAACGGACTTTACAGCATCTTTAATTAAGTTCAATTTTCTCACCAAATATCATTCATTTATTTTAAATGGTTGAAGATTACGAATGTTCTCATTTACAACATTCGCGTCCGTTTCACAAAACATTTACAACATTCGCGTCCGTATTGTATCGGATATACAGTCTCTCGCCTCGCAATCCGATATACAAACTTCGTCGTTACTCCATACTCGTAATGACATAATGATATTTGGTTATAGCTGTTTTTATAGCGCCTGATGTGATGTCTTCTTTTTTCTCTATCTAGCTGTTTTTGACCAAGCTGTGTCTGGAATCATAAGTATTGAAGGTAAGTTTCTGGTGAAAGCTGAACTCTCCCAACAAAGATACTTATATTTAACACGCTTTCGTTGGTAGGAATGCAACTATCTGAAAATATAAGGAGAATTTCGACGTTTCGAGCGAAGGCCGTTCGTTTGATATAGACTCGTCCGCTAGTAACTCCAGACGAAGGGCCTTCGCTCAAAAACGTCGAAATTCTCCTTATATTTTTCAGGTAGTTGCACCCCAACCAACGAAAGCTTGTTCATATTATTGGCACTATACGTACTGTACACTGGCAGAGACAGTTCAGTACTTATATTTAACATTTTAATTTACTACGGTGAGTAGGGTGTTCATATTATTGTTAGTTAAATATATTTGTACACAGCAACCTTTCACTTTGTCAGTTTCCTGTTTTTTAAAGGGCCGTGCTGTAATCTATTTACATTAATTAATTAATTAGAATAAAAATCTAAAATGTACAAACTATATTAAGACACACAAATTTCAATTCTCGTGCAAGATAATTATATAACAAAGTATTTTCAAACATGATAACATCCAACAACGTGAAATTGGTGTTTGGTTTTGGTAAGTTGAGTTTTGGATCATTGCTTCTCATGCATATAGTTATTATTTTGACATGTACATGCAGTACTATTCAGCTAATTAAGTATGCTAGTGTCGTTTTTACGTTCCGTTCGCTCCTCGTCCATTTGGGTAATATCTGTTCTGTGCATGCATAGTATTAGTACGTCTTTTTTGTAAATAATTATATATGTTCATATTTACCCAATAATATATATATATATATATATATATATATATATATATATATATATATATATATATATATATATATATATATATATATATATATATATATATATATATATATTATATAGATTGTGTCACTGATGAAGCCCTAACCGGCGAAACGTCTGACAAACTTATTAAAGTTTTTTAAGCTTACTTTTGCCTGAAGAAATCATTACCAACACCCAGCACATATATCCAGGCATGGCAACCAAAACTTTTTCATATACATATATACATATATACATATATATATATATACATATATATATACATATATATATATATACATATATATATATACATATATATATATATATATATATATATATATATATATATATATATATATATATATATATATATATATATATATATATATATATATATATATAACATAATAACAGTCTTTATTCATACTCAAGAACACCCGTCTGTGAGTTTACATTATAAAAATATATAAGATAAAATTATTGATATCTATAAGGTAATAACTAGATATATACAGTTATGGATAAAAATATCAATAATGTTAAAAAGGTAAAGGTTAAAATTGGTTAAACAAAGTTAAACAAACATCGATTTACAAAAGAACTTTTAAATCGCTCTGTTCTCACTAATGGAAGTTCAAACTCGTGTCCCCTTGGCCTAAGGTGTCTATTTAATTTATCTGGTAAAAGCTCCTGTAGTGCATTATCTTTATTATGTATTACTTTATCCCAAAGTTTCTTGTCCCTTTTGATGCTTATCTCCTTAATATTCAATTTTTCCGATATGTAACCATTTCTGTGAGCGCGATTGATGAATTTGTCTATTTGACTAATGTATTTATTGAAGTATGCGCCTCCCCAAAGTTCTATGCCGTAAGTGATTATAGGCATAATTAAAGTGTTAAACAGCATGTCCAGTTGTTTGATTGGGAAGCCATAGTATTTACAGACACGCATTATGTACATTCTTGCACTGGCTTTTTTCAACATTTCATCAAAATGCAAATCCCACTTGGAAGGGAGATCCTGTAATTTAATTCCTAAAATCTTTAACCACGTCCTTCGTTTAACCTAAATGGAAAAGGATCAGGCAACAGCGTAGGGATATTTCTCCTAACAATCATTTCATACGTCTTTTCCATATTTAAGGACATTCGAGATCAAGGACATTCAAGACCATGTTTGTATACTGTCCACTTCGGCTTGGGATGTATCTCCGTTTTCATTCCCTGGTACTTCTAATGTCATGTCATCCGCGAACTTAACTAACTGGTTTATGGGGTTAACTGTTTTGATGTCATTCACCATGATCGAAAAGAGGACAGGACCCAGAACTGTTCCTTGGGGAACACCTCGATTAATGTTCAAGTATTCAGTTTCTATTCCATCAACCACTACCCTCTGTTTCCTATCCTCCAGAAAACTAATCAGCCAATTAGTAACATATGGGTTGATGGGGAGCTTCTTAAGCTTCTCACATAAAATATCGTGTGGAATGCTATCGAATGCTTTGCGAAAGTCAAAAGATAATACTCTGACATATTTTGCATCTCCTTCTAACCATCTTAACCATGTGTGTTGGCACTTGATCAGAGCCATAATCGAATTGTGACCTTCCTTGTATGCAAACTGATCTGAATCAATAGCGTGTCTTGTAACATGTGCTATCTCAGTTTTGAACACACTTCTTTCAAATAATCTCATTATAATATCTGTTAAAAAGATTGGTCTTAGTTGATTAAGAGAGTTTAAGATAGATTCTTTAGGTACTGGTAGTACATTTGCATGTTTCCACATTTTAGGAACTTTGCTAAGTTTCAATGAAGTGTTAAATATATTTGTTATGGTAGGAGCAAGCTCAAATGCAAATTCCTTCCAAACCCAGTAAGGTAGATCATCTGGCCCGGATGCTGTTCGTTTTAGATTTTGTAAAAGGTGTAGAGTAGTATTTATAGAGAGCGAAGGAACCCTGGTGCCATCAGGGATCTCGACAGGTTCTGGAGCCGCGTACTGAGGATCCGAGTTTATACTTTGAAAGTATACATTTATCTCACTAGGATCAAAGGCTGCACTGACAGATCGACTCCGATTATTTCTTCCTGTAATACTGTTCACATTGGACCACCACTGTTTTGATCCGGTTTTCTGATTTTTGTTCTCTTGTTTGACGGCATTTAAATGGTTCTCTCGAATTAGCTTGTTTATCTGGTCTTGTAAACGAGCGTGAGATTCGGAATCGCTCTTCTGTATAGCTCTTTTCCTTTGCTTTAGCAAATGCTTTACAAGGGGTGACATAAACGGTGGGTCACGTGAAGAGGTTCTAACCTTAATTAGTGGGAAACACTTTTCAAATATCGGCCACATCGTTTCATAAAATTTCAGCGTCATTTCATCTGGAGTTTGCCCATCCTTGGTTATCATATTCCAGTCTACAGTTCCTAATTCATATAACATATTTATTTTCTTATGTTGTCTTACATCTCTAAAATAGGAATTTTTTCTTTCTGCTTTAATTACATCTCGGGGATAGGTTATTACCATATCATGATCAGATTTTACTAAGCTTTTCACTACTTTAACTTTTTTCCAATCGTGAGGAGCGTTCGTAATGAAGACATCAAGTATATTTTGACCCCTTGTGGGAACTTTAACAAGTTGGATGAGCGACAGCTGATTGAGCAGATTTCGAATATTTAATTTATTGATATCACCCGCAATGATTATTCTGGAGTTTGGTTTAACAGACAGAATTTGTTCGCATGTGTCTATCAAATATTCAATTAGGTCATTCACATTATAATCGTGATCAGGAGGGTGGTATATAGTTCCAACATAGACATTCGAGTTTTGTGTGTCAACTTTTGTCCATAAACATTCAAACAGATTGTCCGAGTTTGGCATTATCTGCATTTTCCAATCATTTCTACAAATAGTCGCCACACCGCCCCCTCGACAGTTTGTTCTGTCTTTTCTTATAATAGAAAAGCCAGCGGGACAGACAAGATGATCAGGTATAATTGGTTTCAGCCATGTTTCAGAGATACAGCATATGTCAATGTCATTACACTTCAGATCCGCATACAAAGCGGGAAGGGCATCAGGTTTTACTAGGGATCTAGCGTTTAACACTAGACAACGCGGAATTATACGTGGTAAATTTAAAGCTGTTTTATCGATTTGTACAAATTTCAGAACACGATCACGCTGATGAGGTATCATACGAGCATGTTTTTTTCGTCTTGTAATTCTCACAGGAATTTTATTACTACGACAAGCTGACTGAGACATACAATTGGAACCATTTAAGTTCGTATATATATATATATACATATATATATACATATATGTATATATATATATATATATACGTTAGGAATTTTATTTCTTCTAGATATATGTCTTGGTTGCGGTGATATCAAGATTAGTGTTCATCATCCGTTGTTTCATGGCTCACTTTGTGAGGAGTGCAAGGTATATGGTACAATGTATTAATATCCTTTTCACGACCATAAAATTTGTGGTGCAAACAGGCTTCAACTTCATTTAATTTCAATTTATAAGATTGTTATCATATTGACATGTTTTCACCCCACACAAAGTTTTCATCTGCGGAAGAGAGGGGGAGTATGTTCCATTGGTTTAAATATTTACATGTCACTTCTATGAGGAAAATCATTCGCTTATAATTATGTGAAGAGTTTCCAATGCATATAGGAGCCTTTTTCATAGTAGGTTTTATTCCCTTGCTTTTCAACAATATAAGCGGTACACTGTGAATCTAGCCTGCGTGTCAGGTTCTTTGCTTGAAATAGAGCCTGCTACTGAAGTCGATGAAAAGTGGACACTGTCAGTCATTTGGTTGCACGAAAATAACAACCAATCAAAACGGCGATTGTACAATTAGATTATCAAAGCTAATTTAAAATATGACAATAACGGACAATTTTTCCGCCAATATCTCGAAAATAAATATTCCAATTTTCATTAAACGGCCAGGAATTACATACTAAATAATAATAACGGTTATTGACCGTGTTTATAGACAGCAAAGGCAGTAATTAATACGGCCAAAAGTACAATTACCAGTACGGAATATCATATTATGTAAAGAACAACTTGATATTACCTTATAAGGCAAGGCTATTTATTTCTGACCAATGGGAATTTTGCGTACGATTATTTCAAGCATAGAGCCTGACACGCAGGCTAAGGTGAATCAAGACTGTTTCGCCCCATGCAAGGCCGTCGGAAGTATATCAGTATTGGGGAGCTCTAAGTAAATCTGAATTGCTTTCGCACTTTTCTAGTTCTTTTGTGTGTTGTTCTATACAAATTGAAATTATTGGGGGGGGGGGGCTGAAGTCTCCCAGCCCTTCCCCGCTTCCGACGGCCTTGCCATGTATGGTAATCCAGGAATCCAGAATCCGACTTTTGATAGCTTTGCAATCCGGAATCCAGACAGTGGAATCCAGAATCCATACATCGGAGGAATCCGGAATCTTTATCCTGGCCCAATTATCCTGGCCCACGACCGATCTGGAACTGATCCGGAATTCAAGAGAGGAATATAATTCGGAATCCAAGGAGTGCATGCATTACCTTACATGGGGCGAACTTAGCCCGCGTGCAGGCCCAAGGGAACTGATAGTGGGCCTGCAAGCAAGGCCCGGTGTTTTGTAAAACGCCCCTTTTCATAACACGCCCCATTCGCGCGTCAATTGTCAAAAAAAGAACCAATGACAGCACCCAAATATTAACAAACAAACTTGCATTAAAATGTTGCGGGGTTTTCTCTGCTTATTCAGAACATAAACAATTTTGTAAATGGCAGCGTTTTAACTCCAAAAAAGCAAGCAACGCAGTCAGTAATTGCCAAATTTACAAGTGCTCATTTTCAACTAAAATTGGAACAGGCAAATTAGGACGAATTTCAACAGAAAACCAGTCTCAAACTTCAAATCGTGAGGGAAGTCGTGCGACCACATTAGCATTTATATTGTGTGACATGTGTGTGCTTCGCTGTCGCCATTGGCATTGTTAGAAATAATTAAATTGCCTCACCTATCAGATCGTGTGTGCAATTCTTGTTGGCGGCGGAAAGTACGAAATTTATTTCAGTTATTTCATTTGGTATAGAACTCTACAAAAGAAGAGAGCGTTCAGAGTCCAGATCGTTTCGTTTCAAACGGCAATTTTAATAATACCGTCTTCTGTTTGGCTCTCTCAGCGAAGCCTTGTAAATCGCAAAGTGTTTCGAACAGGCTAGGCTTACATGCAACTGCATCTCAACATCAACCAAAAGATAATTTTCTTGAGGAACATATAACGTATCAAGTCTGTTTGAAATTAATGAAACTCAAGTAAAGGTTACTATAGTTTACCGCAGTCGTAATGTTGCTATTCCAACACCTCACGACAAGCAATCCCCATTGGCATAACGGCAAAAACATCTATTCCTTCAAGTAAACAATAAACAGTCTGTTCTTGTTCCATTTATAATCGAAAAAAGTGATCAATTTTCGAATTTTGAGCTTATCGAGAGCCTTTGTGATGAATCACTGACCTAATTATAGAATCTAACAGCAAACAGCCAATCAGAATGCCGCGTTCGTGGGCGAACGCGGAAAATACAAAATACCGGGCCTTGCTTGCAGGCCCACTATCAAGTTCCTTTGAGCCTGCTCCCTTGGGCCTGCACGCGGGCTAGGGCGAACTGTGAGTCTGGCTTGCATGACTGCTCTACCAGTTATGCCTCATTAGTCGCGCTCGTTTACTTAGCCAGATTATATATATATAGCGTTTGAGATCATGGCTAGAAATTGCGGACAACTTGCCTGCAATCGCTGGTTGCAAAACAAAATTTGTCGCAGTATATATGATATTCAAATTAGTAAGGAAGTTGAATACTCATGTCCATGATTTCTGGCCATGATGTCATCCTGTTTCGTGCGTTTTGCATTGGTTTTTTAAATTGCATTTTTAAACATCGATCTTACCTACAAAATTGAATCTACACAATAATTATTTAATCTTGATTATTTAATTATTCTTTTAATTATTTTATTATGAATCACTCTTTTTAAATCTCAGTGTTATAGCAAAGCGATTCACCACTGTTCGTCATAACAAAATATTTGCCAACCATATTTAATAAAACAACTTATATTTACTTTTTCTTGATTTAGGAAACATTTCTTGAGTGTGTTTATTTATTTGATGAAGACGGTTATCAGGTTAGAATCCCAACTGACATATTCGCAGACGGGATTTAAAATTATTTACGTATGCATGCGCGTGCTCGAAGGTCTTTGTCAAAATAACTGTTTAGTGGTACAGTATATGCCATACGCCAAACTCCTTTTTAAATTATCAATGGTTCTTACTATCATTTGCGAGGTCGCCTTGAATCGTGATGTATTATTATTACAAAAAAGTTTTTGCAAGTTTAAAATAAAAGCGAAGAAAGTCTACTATACTAGTCTATGGTGAAACGGTCTACGATGAAGCATTCAATTGTCAAATGATGAACTGCTTACGAAACAAACATGTATTTTTTTTAGATGTATTGCACAATATGCGGTGATGGTAAAGAAGTTTTCATGTGTGAATCTTCGGGATGTTTCAGGTTTAAATCTTTATCAGCAGAAATTCCAAGAAATATAAGAAAAGAAATCTTGTATTTGTGGTTGAAAGATATTTGTGGTTGAAAACAAGTTACAATTACTATGATCATAATCATAGCAATTACCCAGAGATTCTTTATCATCTTAAGCAGGCCAACCCTAATCTGCTGTTGTTCTCAGAGCTTAATTAAGGGTCGAAGCTAACGAAAGGTCGTATTGGGTTTTTCTGTAATTAATTCAACTAGGCTTGTGTAGTTTCCCATCACTTTCCTTACATGCCTCATAAGTCAATTCTTCAAGTAATCCTGGGGCCGGTTGTATAAAAACGTATAGTTAACGGTAACTGCAGTTAAAAAAATCATTAATAATTCACGAGGAAAATACAAAAGAAATGAATGTTTAATCAATATTTGTAAATCGGATAAAGATTTGTCCTGATTTACATAAACTTCAGCTTTGATTTTCTCGGCTTAGACAATGTTTATTTTTAAAATTACTTCGCCAATGAATTCATAAGATGGGTCATTTTTTAAGTACGATAAAACATTCGCATCCGATCTGTATCTGATATACAAACTCTCGCCTTCGGCTCGAGTTTGTAGGCCTATATCAGATACAGATCGGCTGCTCATGTTTTATCTAGTACTTAAAAAATAGTTAAATAGTAGTTAATTAACTTTAATCACGTAGTTAAGCCGGTTGTATAAAAGTGTAGTTAGCCTTACCTGCAGTTAAAAAGTAGGTAAAAAGTACTAGTTAAAGTTAACTGTGCTTTAGGGTATAGTTAAACTATCCAAAACGTAGTTAAAAATGGAGTTTGTGTAGGAGTGAACAACATTTTTCAGTAAAACAACAATGAAAAGCAACGCTTACCTTGCATTTTCAATCGCCATCTTCCCTGTGAATGTTTTCTGACAATATAAACTCTTCAAGCGCTATCGCTTTTGTGTTTTTACAAAAACAGAATATATTTTTGCACAGCCGTCGAAGACGAAGTAGGGTCCATTACACCAAGAAACACTGATATATAATCGCCAAACAGCTACAGCTTGGTTTAACCAACTGCAGTTAGCGCTAACTACGTTTTTACACAACCGGCCCCTGAAATATAAATTTTCTTGCTATCTTCATAACACCTTTTCAATAGACGAAATGGTTAAGAATTTTTTTCTTTCTATCCTGATAACTACTTCTCAGCAGGGTCAGGGATGAAACAGTTGGATATCAAAACTATTTTCAATTTTGCAGATCATATTGTGCTGTTTGTCTTGAATTGATTTGCGGAGCCGGTACGGTTGATAAGGTTTGTTTATGTATCATCACTGGAATTTTTGGAAACGTTACTACTTCTAGGGTTGGAAAGAGCTAGTAAAGAACCCCATTTTTTGTATACTAGTTACCATTTCCATACTATGGATAAACATGTATAGTATGGACATAGTGTGAATTTAATATAGATTTTGTTAGTGATGCAAACTACACAATAGGAAGAACACAATAGGCCATAGATCCGTATTTTTATATAACTCTCACTTAGAATTTGTCTTTGTATTTGTTCAGATTTCATCTCTAGACAAGTGGTGTTGTATTTTATGTTTGGATGTCAAAGTTGGACTTCTTGAGAAGAGAGAAGATTGGCAAGAACAACTTAGGGATCTTTTTGCTTCTGATAAAGAACAAGAATATGTAAGTAGTTTTGACTGCCAAACTTTTTGTGGAAAACAATTGCGTTGTTTATCGATTATTTTCCATGGACAAGTTAAGGTTGCATGTTAGTCTCAGCAGTATAGTGTAGATATGAAAATACTGTGATCTCAATAATTATTTTTGCGGCCAATCAGTGAGATCTGGCTATATGGTAAAGCCCTGGTCAAATGAGAATGAAAGTTGATGAGAATTGAGAAGCGAGAGTTTGCACGAGATTTTTCTCAACTCTCATGCCTCGGTCAAACGACAAGAGATGAATGAGAGTTAATGAGAGCTAACTGTATATTACCATGCGCATAGCGAAAACTCTCGTCAACTCACTTCAAAATTTGAACCAGCTCAGAATTGACGGGAGTAGACGAGAGTTGCTGAGAATTGGTGGTCAACGCAAGCGAGAGTTGAAACTCTCATCAACTCTCATCCTGGTTTGACCGAGGCTTTATAAAGGTGAGAATAGTCCGTTCGTACGCCGAAAAGTGTTTTTTAAGGAAAACAATGCAACACTGAGATTTATGTACTGACCGCGCTGTAAAACAAATTGTGGTAACTGAAACTGACGTCCAACCGCGTAGTCACAGCGCAGATTAGATTAGCTTAATGTCATCATCTGCAAAAATTATAATACCAAGCTGATGATGTTACAAAAATCAAATGCGGCTGATTTTTCAACTTTTTATTAATAGTAAATCCACAAAAACCAAAACATTTCCACTTCATACTTCTAGCAAGATATATACACTCTCTTTATTTAGTTAGCTCCAAAAATCTGTGCTCCAGTACCACCTGAACACCGTCAGCCACTTCGTGTTTTATCATTGTTTGATGGTATCGGAACAGGTGAGTAATAAAATGTTAATAAACTTTTATAATCTAGTTTTGGCTTTTTGACAATTTTGTAGTTTTGATCTACTGACGATTGTAGTTTAGCCCCCCCCCCCCATATAGCGAGGGAAGTGACGTCATGAGGAATCCGTATAGCGCGGGATGTGACGTCATGACGTGCGCATATGATGACGTGTACAGGTGTAACGCTACACTTATAAAACAAAGACCGTATTGGGGATCTACTACACGTACTTCACTCGCTTTTGCGGTCAATGTCGCTGGCTAAGGTCACGGCAAAGGTCGCGCGTGATGGTGTACCTAGTGGCTGTCCATGCTTAAGGAATATCCTAAAAATTTATCTATATTCTTTTTAGTAACTATAGGGATTCCTAAAAAAATCGGCTACTTTTTGTCCCCCGTTATAAACAGAAAAATTCCCCCTCTATCTAAAACTGATTTATATTCTTTTGTAAATGTGGTGGCTCTTATAAAAAGCCGTTTTTGTCGAAAATGTGTTACTTTCGTTCCAATTAAAACTTATTTTTGAAAGATTGGATAGTTTGAGATCTTTTAAGATCACAAAGTAAACTATTCCCAACACGAAGAAGACCCTGGGAACGAGGTTGAACTATTCCAAGCCACCGCACCCCTGTAACTAAATTATTTTTTCTTGAAATTATTGTTTGGTTTAGGTGGAAAATAATTTTGCACATGCATGTCTCGTTTCATAATTGTGTACGTTATCGGTTCTTTGAAATAAATTTGATATGGAGCGAGGAACCATTTTAGGGGCCTGGGAATTTAAAATAGCACAACTGTCAAAATTACTGCGCACGCGAGTGCATAAAGAAAAATTTATTCATTTATTTAATGCACAACAACAGCAATATGATCTATTAGCAATGCGATTTCAATTCCCAGGGGCCTAAAATCTTTTATTCTTAAGAATTGCAAAGTGATTTCTTAGGAAATTCCGAGGTTGCGTTTTTTTTTATACACCCTGTATATTGTTTTACCATATAATTCTGAAATTCCAGAATCTGCTGGATTAAAGATATTTCTTAAAGGTCTTGCAGATAGATAAAAGCCTAATCGTAAATGGACGGGTCCTTTCAATGTTAGCTCACTGGCAGTCACGGCAGGATGTGGATACAGATTCTGACGAATCCGTGGATGAGTCTGTAGGCTTGGAGACAACTTGTAACAGTTGTGACAAAGATTTCGACATCTCCCATTTGGTTACATGGCCTCTATTCGCGTACACAGATTTTTATCCCAATTGTACAAGGTGTCATTGTTTGATTTGTGATTTTCGACTGTCCAAAGGAGATTTCACGCATGTAATCGCCAGCTGTCCATATTGTCATTATGATGAAATTACGAATGTTAGTACTGATTAAAGAGAATATGATTAAAATATTAGTACTGATTAAAATATGTGTACAAAGTGGTATTTGATCAGTCGACTGTGAAGTTGAACTGAACACATCAATATGCCGAGAGGTACACTTTTTGTAGAAGAAGAAATACTTAGAGATCATTACTTGAAACAGCATCGTGGTGGAAAATAAATTGGGTATCGTGGTGCACGTTTTCAAAGAGGTTATGGGCTCGGTGGAATTTTTAAGAGTCTTGGAAGCTATAATATTCCTTTTATTTATTCAAAGATGTTGGTTAAAACTGTTGGAAAAAGAGCATTACAAGCTGCAACAGAAGCCGGTCAAGATGTTCTGGAAGGCAAAAAGGTGTCAAGATCTATAAAAACCCGCGGAAGAGAAGTTGTCAGAGATTTTGCCGATCATGGCGCAAACACTCTACTGCATTTGTCAAACGGGCAGCGGAAACAAGAAAAGACGAGGTCAACGCAGTAATCTGTCATCTAGCAAACGGCTAAAACTATGCTTTCATCTGGCAGACACAAAACCTACCAGATGGATTACCGGAAGATGAAAGCAGTGACTATATATGATGAATTCGATTAGCGAAATGTCTCAAACAAGTGACGATATATATTGGACGCATAACTTTGTAAACGTTTTGAAGAAGTAAATGTGTTTTAAATCTAAATTCTTGTGAAAATTTATGCCCGCAAAACCACGCTGCTGCTCAATTTTAAAGTCTACGCCCGCGTAATAAATAATCCCTAAATATCGACCATAACGACGACGTTGACAACCATGTTAACTTGGACTTAGCAACTGCTAAGTTCTGTAGCGCTAGGCAAGGCATTTAGTTTTGGCAGCCATCATGGAAGGAAATAATACATATAAGAGATATCGCTTAAAACGGAAAGCGGGTTGACGAAGTACAATGCATTTTTTGCTTACGTGCTGGAGACACATCCAGAATTCATTAGGGCCTTCAAGGCAAGCCACGGAAGGAGTAAGACGTATTAATTTTGCTCCTGGTCTTCTTCTAGTTTTATCACTATAATATACGCTTGTTGGCGTCTATCAATGCCAATCTTCTGTTAGCTAGTGCTTTTGGAGTGCTAGGCATTGTACGATTTGTAAGCCAATAGTCCTATTAGCTTTATCTTAATTATCGTCGTGAGCAAGAAAGATGGCCGATGAAGAAGGGCGTATTACTCGAAGTCGCGTTGACTCTCGTAAAGATTTGGATAGTTATTTTAAGTCAAATACGTTCGAAGCTCTAGTAAATAAAGCAGTCGCGCAGCAATTCGAAAGTTTTCTTGCCTCTAAAAAGTTTTCAAGACATGCTTCAATCAACTACTAAGTCAATCGTCTCTCAGCTAGTTTGCGATTCAGTCGAAGCTGTTGTTGCTAAAGAAATTGATAAAGCCGTTCAACCGTTGTTGAATTCTATTGCTGATTTGAAAGCAAACTTAATTAAAGTTAAGTCCCATGCTAACGAAAATGAACAATATTCTCGTCGTTGCAACGTGCGAATCTATGGCATTCCTGAAGAACAAGGGGAGAATTGTTATGATGCTGTCTTGAAATTATGTGAGAATGATTTAAAGTGTGCTGTCGCCTTGGATGAAATAGACAGAACACAGCGCGTTGGTAATTCACGAGGTGTTTCGAAACCACGTGCCATAATTGTAAAGTTTCTGTCATTTCAGACCAAGTTAAGGGTTTTAAAACATCGTCGGAATTTAAAAGGCAGTAAAAAGTTTATAAACGAGGACCTAACTTTCATGAATAAAGCCTTATTCGACATGGCAAGAAAGGATCTACGCGGCCTTTCGGTATGGACGTCTGATGGCAAAGTACTGGTAAAGCTGTCAAATGAGAAGATTGTTCGAATCAAGTCAAAGGAGGACATTTACCAAATCGAATAATTTTGCATGCCTCATTCTAAAAACACGCTTGTGCTTTATTGAGTCCATATACCACGTTTGGTAAATCTTTTTTCTATTTTATTTTTCATTCTATTTTTTCTGTGTGTTATCTTGTGCAGCCCGAGGTAAGTGTGATGTATTGGGAATTTAATGGGGGTTAGTTTGGAAGCCTACAGAGCAAGTATCGGGATGTTCAACTGTTTTAAATATTGCTTGTGCCGTAAGTCGTGCTTTTCCGGAATAGTTGTTGGAGAATGGTTATGCTCTTTGTCTATTATTTTATTGTTATTAATTTTACTTTCTGGAGATGTCGAGGTAAACCCTGGCCCTTCTAGAAATTTAATGTTAAATGTTGGTCATATAAATGCGAGAAGTCTAAAATGTTGAAGACAAATTTGACGAGATTACTTCTCTTGTAGTTGAACAACAACTTAGTATTTTTGCGGTATCTGAAACATGGTTAAATTCATGTATTACTGGTGATTTATTATCCATTCCAGGTTTTAGTCCTATGTTTAGACTTGACAGAAGCGATGGTAGAAGGGCTGGGGGTGTTGCCGTATACATCTCATCTGATTATCTATCTAAAAGACGTGAAGATCTTGAGCATGGTGATTTTGAATTGCTTTTTGTTGAAGTTAAAATAAATTCATTGACATTTGTTTGCGGGGTTTGCTAGCGGCCACCTAATTATAATTCTATTGTTAACAATGCTCTTTTGGATCATTTGCAATTCTGCTTAGACGAAATAAATAAAGTACCTGGTACCTTTGTTTTACTCTTTGGGGATTTTAATGCTGATTAATTTTGTAATGGGGGAAACTTTGCCCAATAATGATTTCGGATCACATTTATACAGATGGCTGGAATGCAATGGCCTGTTTCAAGTTATAAATGAACCAACACGCATTACTGCACATATAGTGCCACTTTATTAGATCTTATAATTACAAACTCTCCAGGTTATTTTGTGAATTCTGGAACTATAAGCCCACCAAGTAATTGTGATCACTCGCTGGTTTACGCTCGGATGAGTATTTCGCTAGAAAAACAAAAGTGTTATACACGCCATATCTGGGATTATTCCAAAATAGATGTAAATGCTTTACGTGAGGTTCTTGAAAACACTGCGAGGGATGAAGTATTCTATAATGTTGACGATCTTAATGAGTTATACAATAGGTAGTTTCAGCGTTTTCATCATATTCTTGAGTCCTTTGTGTCTAAAAGGACTGTGATAATTCGTCCAAGAGATAAACCTTGGATGAATTCAAAAATCAGAATAGCCATCCGCAAAAGGAATAGACTACTAAAACTTTTCTGCAGACGGAAAAGTCTGCGTACATGGGAAAATTATAGATTGCAAAGAAATCTGACGACGGCACTAATACGTAAATGCAAAGTAAATTATTTTGCAAATCTCAATAAAAAATTACAGGATCCTAAATTAGGTCCAAAAAAGTGGTGGGGTATTGTTAAATCATTATATGGGAGTAAAATTCAATCCAAAATACCCGTTATACAAGACGGACCCCGTGTGATAACGGATGCGAAAGAAAAAGCCGCACTTTTCAATGAGTATTTTATTTCCCAGTGTAAAGTGGAAAATAACAATGCTCCGGTGCCTATTTTAAACGAATTTCAAACTTCAAAAATTCTTTCGCATTTATCCACCACCGAAAATGAAGTTAAAGATTTATTAAGCACTGTTGATGTTTCAAAAGGCTGTGGTGTAGACGGCGTAGGAAATTTTCTTATTAAGACAAGTGCTGTTGGTATTGCAAATTCATTTTCCCGTTTTATTAATATATCCTTATCTAACGGAAAATTCCCGCTTAGCTGGAAATTGGCAAATGTTATACCAATTTTTAAAAAGGATAATCGCCAATCGAAAGAGAATTATCGTCCCGTTTCTTTATTATCGTCTTTGTCGAAAGTTTGCGAGAAAATAGTATTTATTAGGCTATATAATTTTTTGCTTGAGATTCATTTCCTAAATCCTTTTCAATCTGGTTTTCGACCTGGAGATTCGACCGTAAATCAGCTTGTTTTCATTGTGCACAAAATTTACGAGGCTCTTGAAGAAGGCAAAGAGGTTCGGATGGTTTTCCTGGATATTAGTAAGGCCTTTGATAAAGTTTGGCACAAAGGATTGCTCCGTAGGTTAGAATCTTTGGGAGTAAGAGATCCTCTTCTTAAATGGATTAAAAGTTATTTATCAGAAAGAAAGCAGCGTGTCATAATAGATGGTCAGTCATCGGACTGGATGCAAATTGAAGCCGGCGTTCCTCAGGGTTCCGTTTTGGGCCCTTTGCTTTTTTTAATTTATATAAATGATATTACGCGTGATCTTCAAAGCAGCAATTTTCTTTATGCCGATGATACTTCTCTGTTTGATGTAGTCGATGATCCTAGTTCTACAGCAATTAAGCTAAATAATGACCTTGCATGTATTAATGCATGGACACACGACTGGCAGGTTACTATTAATCCGGGAAAAACCAAATCCATAATCTTTTCTGTAAAGCAAATAAAGCCAATTCATCCAAATATATATTTTAATAATAAAATAATAGAAAATGTTAGTAACCATAAACATTTGGGAGTTAGTCTTTGTTCTAATCTTTCTTGGAGGGCTCATATTTTTAATGTTTATGAGAGTGCTTCAAAAAAATTAAACCTTTTAAAAGTCTGAAATTCAAATTAAGTAGAGAGACGTTATCAAAATTGTACAAATGTATTATTAGACCTGTAATGGAGTATGCCGATGTTCTTTGGGACGGCTGCTCCATTAGTGAAAGTGATCTTTTAGAACATGTTCAGTATGAAACTGCAAAGGTGGTCACCGATGCTATGAAAGGCACAAGCAAATCAAGGGTTTGGAAGAGCTAGCTTGGGAAGATATGGGAACTAGGCGACTTATTCATAAGCTTGTCTTGTTTTTCAAAATTGTAAATCATCTCACTCCAGGTTATTTGTCCGTTTTATTACCCCAGACAGTACAACAAAGGTCCGGTTTACTTTTGCGTTCTGCATCTAATTTAATTACCTTTCCGACTAAAACAGAAAGATTCAAAACATCTTTTTTTCCTTCAACAACGTTGCTCTGGAATAGCATTGATTACGTAGAACGTAATAATTTATCAATTGATGTTTTTAAACAGTATCTTAAAAATTTCTTTGATATTTCAAGTTATTCAAAATATTTTGATTATTCAATAGATAGATATTCTTCTATTTTGCACACTCGTCCTCGCCTTAATTGTTGTACTTTAAATTATTATTTATTCAAAATAGATTGTATTGTATCTCCAGTATGTGTGTGCGGCGGACTTGTGAATCTGTTACTCATTACTTGCTAGAGTGTTCCCGATACTCTGCTCTGAGGTTGTCCTTGCTCTCGGTTGCTGCACAAGTGTACGGTTGGGGCTGGAATCGTTTGTCGGCTTTTCAAAAAGTACAATTATTATTGTTTGGTGAACCAAATTTAAGTGTAGATGATAACATAGAAATATTTAAAAATGTTCAGCAATATATTAAGTTATCAGAACGTTTTCGGCAAAGTTAGTGGAAATCCTTCAGTTGTTCCAGCTTCTCATCGTAATTTCCATTTACTCCTTTCTTGTTCTTTTTTTTTTTAAATATGTAAATGTTATATGACGTAAACCCCTCGATGAGCTTCATAGCTCTTGGGCAAACGTCATTAATAAATATATACGTTTAAATAAAAGAGGTATATAATTGCGAGGAGTCAGCCCCGGTAAGCGTCGAAAATGAAGCACCCAGTACAAGGGAGACGGCCCCTGCTGAGACAACTCCAGCAGCTGTTGAGACAGAACTGTATAAAAAATTGGTAGAACAGTTGTGGGCTATGCTTGTGGTGAGGGGCATGGCTAATTCTGCGGAGGATTAATACAAAAATACCAAAAAAAACGCTCTTTTAAAAGCCATCACATTTGCGAAAGAATATAAAACGGTTTCAGATAGGTGGGGGATTTCTCTGTTTATAGCGAGAGACAAAAAATAGCGATTCTTTTTAAGAGCCCCTACAGCTACTATAAAAATAATATAGATACATTTTTAGGGTATTCCTTAAGCATGGACAGCCATTGTCACTTCCCTCGCTATATGGGGGAGGGGCTAAACTACTAACGATAACTTTGACATAATATTAAAAATATTCAGTGCCAAGGTGTGTTCGATCAGAAACGTAGCCCTTGTAGAATCCGACATATTTATAACCTATTTTATACCTATTTTTTCTCTATTTAGCCCTATTTTTTCCGTATTTTTTCAAAAATATGTCTATTTTATTACTATTTATCAAATTTCATAAAATAGTATATGACTATTTACTCCCTATTTAAAATATAGGTTATATATATTTTTCAAAAAAATAGCTTTGAAATAGATATTCAAATCCTATTTGAAAGAGTAATTGACGGAATCTCACTATAAAATAGCTTTTAAATAGCTATTTAATTCCTATTGATGACAAACGAGTCAGTTAGAATAGTTTAAATAGCTATTTTTAAACTATTTTTGCATATCTTCCTTGGAGCCATTCTTAACATAGTTATTAAATAGCAAAATAAATAGGTCTTAAATAGCTATTTGATTCCTATTCAAAGAAAATTGTGGCGAACTTTGTTCAAAATAGCTATAAAATAGCTATTTTTAAACTATGTTTGCTTTTATTTTTGGAGATATTATTGAGTATTGTTAAAATAGTTATTAAATAGGAAAATAAATAGATCTTAAATAGCTATTTAATTCCTATTCATAGAAAGTTGTGGCGAACTTTGTTCCAAATAGTTATTAAATAGCTATTTTTAAACTATGTTTTCTTTTATTTTTAAATTTTTAGAGCCATTCTTAGAATAGTTATTAAATAGCAAAATAAGTAGATCTTAAATAGCTATTTAATTCCTATTCGATTCATAGACAGTTTGGTCAAAATGGCTATTAAATAGCTATTTTTACACTATGTTTACTTTTATTTTTAGAGCTATTGTTAAAATAGCTAATAAATAGCACAGTGCCTTTTTTAAGGAATTTTTACTAGGGAGGGGGGGGGGGGCAAAACAGGAAAAAAGGCAGAACGAAAAATATGACCCATCGAAGTTTGGCGAACACGCCAGTCTGAAGAGAGATTTTGTAAAACTTGAATTTATTAACTTCTCCTATATATAGACAATAACTTCAACCCTTTGTAGCTATAATCGTACAGCTATAACCAGTGGCGTAGCCAGACCTTATTTTTGGGGTTCGGTGTAAATCAACTGCAATTCTGACAGCAATCATGAGCAATTCTGCTTCGCACTTCGGGGGCAGAAATGGCTTTACTGCGGGGGGGGGGGGATTATTTCCCTGGGGGGAAATCCCCCCCCAGATATAGAGTTAAAAAAGGCACTGAAATAGCAAAATAATTAGATCTTAAAAGCTATTTATTTCCTATTCAAATAGAAAGTTGTGAGAATTTAGAAAGGGTAAATGTATTTATTTAACTGGTCAAAATTTCCCAGTTTGAGTTTGTTAATTTTAAATTTTTCATCAGTTCATTGAAATTATATTTACAAAAATATTTATAGTCTTTGTGGACTTTGTGGAGGTAGGTATTTTGTTTCTTGACAAAACAGAATTTTTGACAAAACACCATGCCATGAATACCACCAAAAATTCTTACGATGAGCGCAGTTTGACAGACTGGTGCCTAATTTTCTTACAACGCGCGCAAAGCTTTCTGGGATAGCATCACAATTCACAACGCCATATTTTAAAAATTTTTTGTTTTAAACTTTCCGCTCAAAATGGCTCAAATACAGAGCTTTTATTGAGCGAAACTGTTATTTATTGTAAAGATAAAAGATCCGGGATGACTGGGAAACATCCAGGTAAGAATTTTGTTATGTTTTATATATAAATAGAGCAATTTTGAAAGGAAATATTTACTATCTTCATTCGTGAATTTTGAGCACATGTTCCGGCTTAAAATTTCAATTTGCAGCGACAATATTTGAATTAAAACAACATTAGTTTTATAGAATGGCTTACATTTGACTCAGCCTTTATATTTATAAATGATGTTTATTGTAATGCCAAATAGTATACTTTGATCTTTGTGTATACTATAGTGTATATGACAGATTGCCAGATTCCAGTGTTTGTTGTATAAAATAATATAGCTTGACATGATGGCATCTACTCAATTCTCATATGCCTACCCAGACATGTCCCAGCTAAACATGGTTTGAGAAAATTTATCGACTGGTTTCAAATTAACTGGTACTTTCATAAGTTTCCAATATTTATTCATATATAGGTGGGTGAGTTTAGGATAGATAAAAATATCAATTTGATGTGTTGTTGTCATATGTGGCAACTAGATTATAGATGTGTCCCTAACTGAAAACAGTTGAAGTCCTTAGTTTGCTTGTTCAAACTTATGAATACATTTAGTTAATACACCACATGTTCTGCTTAATAATATATGTAACAACCTTTGGGCTTCATTTTATATATTTTAGAGACACCCCGGCAAGGGTTTGATTGTTTTTGGAATTACCCATCACTCCAATGAGCCCAATATTCAGCACTTTGTTATTAAATGTTATCTTGCCTAATGCCGGACAATTTTATTCATCAAGGGAAGTGTCTAGCTAGCGTACTAGACTCTCCCCATGTTTCATGTTGGGCCTGATTACATGGAGAGTTTTCAGCCCGGGCTGAGTTTCAGCCCGGTTAAACGAGCTGAAATTTCATCACGATTACATGAGCAGTTTCAACCCGGGCTGAGTTTAGTCAGAGCTATATTTATCATCAACCCGGGCTGAAATGTCAGCCCGGGCTGAAATAATCTGAGTGTCACGAAATAGGTCAATAAAGCGTGCTACGCTTCTTTGAAGCAATCAGACACTGATTAGTCCAGTATTTGACTTGTGTGAGACTGTGGTGATATGTAAAGTATTTAAAAATTAAACAAACACGCAAAATAAAGCCATTTAAACGGTTGTTTTTTAGGCCGGGCTGAAATTATTTGCGATTACATGCATGCCGAGCTGAGTTTCAGCCCGGGCTGAAATTTCAACCCGGGTAGCTCAAACCGGGCTGAAATTTCAGCCCGGGTTGAAACTCAGCCGGGGCTGGAATTTTGGTCATGTAATCGCTTGCTGTGTTTTACTAGGATTTTATCCTTAGGCCGGGCTGAAATTTCAGCCAGGGAAACCGGGCTGAAACTCAGCCCGGGCTGAAAACTCTCCATGTAATCAGCCCCTTAAGTACTTTGATATTATTATTTAACTCTGACATTTCATGCTAGACAATTTTACTTACCGACTTTGGCATGCTCGCCCATATCTCACCTAAATATTAACACCTATAAAGGAGCAATTTGCTCTTACCTTACTTACTTACTTGAAGAATGAAGTTCTTTGTAGGGTGTGCAGGATAGAATGTTTTTGCTATGCAGCTCCATACAGGGTATATGTTGGATAGTTGAAAAATATCCAGCTAGATTCAGGGTATTATTCAAATATATAAATGTTTTTTCTAACCTGTAAAGAAGGCCTGAACTAGCTGCAGCTGAGCTTCGCCCTATTCTTGATGTTACATGATGTTCTTGCATGCTTTTTTTCTGCCCTGTCCCCAGCCAAGTTACTGTATGGATATACTAAACTCTTTGGCTACCAAAGAGACTGCTAACTACAGATTTTTAACTCATTTATTGACAGACCTCTACCTACTGATAAGTAAAATTGTCTGGCATTTACAGACGGTAAATACTAAAGTAAGGTCCGTAATAGCCTCTGATGTTTCAGCACTTCTACACTTGTTCTCAATTTTTTTTACTAATTATATTTTATTTAAATTAAAGACTATTTACATTATATGTTTTAACTTTTTATTATCTATGTTTTAACTACTGGGATTTATAATATATTTTAAAAATATTTATAGGCTATTTGTATTTGTATACACTATATTTAATAACTATTTTAACTGTATTAACAGGACATATTTTAAATATTTATTTAATATGTTATTACTATTTTTTAACTATTTTTAATCTATTTGGGCAATATTATATCCACTATTTATTATCTATTTTTAACAAGCTGGGATGTATTTTAACTATTTATTATCTATTTTTAAACTATATTATCACTATTTTTGAACTATGTATTATCTATTTTTAAACTATATTATCACTATTTTTGAACTATTTATTATCTATTTTTAAACTATATTATCACTATTTTTGAGCTATTTATTATCTATGTTTAAACTATAATATCACTATTTTTGAACTATTTATTATCTATTTTTAAACTATATTATCACTATTTTTGAACTATTTATTATCTATTTTTAAACTTTTTCAACTATTTATTGACTATTTTAAACTTAGTTGAAACTCATTTCAACTATTTATTACATATTTTATACCTATATTGTCACTATGTTTTAACTATTTCATACATATTTATTAACTATGTCGAAACTATATATTTTTAATAATTTCCTAAATAGCTCTATTTTTATCATATTTGAAACCTATTTAATTTCTATTCGAGTACATCAATTAAGTATTTGTTTAGAAATATATCATGAATAGGAAAAAAATATGGTTCCACTTGGATAGGAAAAAAATAGCTTTTCTACCCCAATTTAAATAGGAAAAACCTCGAAAAAAAATAATAGTAAAAATAGGAAATAAATACTTTGACAAATAGGAATTAAATAGCCCAATAAAATAGGAATTAAATAGCAATTAAATAGTGTTTGGTTCTACAAGGGTAGTATTACTAAACACACCTTTTCAATTGCCGAAGGTGCGTACAGTAAAAAGTATTTGTGTAAAACGAATTGTGTTTTTATGACACTAAGGCGAGTTTTCTGAGAGGTGGTTGTAAGGTTCTTATAAATTTCATCTCGGTTTGATATCTATATTTTTGTCATGCATGCGATCGCAATATTCACTGGAATAAAAACGCATGTAATTTTCGTAATCCGCACTATACTCACTTCCCGACAAAAGTTCTGTTTATATTTTCAAGTAGTAGTACCTTATGCATACCGCTGCCAATAAATTGTCATGCCTACAATATTCACAGTGACCCACAAATGATTTTGTGACCTATAAATGTTAGACGTACGCTTTCGACTTCTTGCTACTCTCCGTAGAACTGTTAGTCTCTTCCCTTGCTTACATAATTTGCCTATTACTCTTGTGTGATGGCGTCTCAAAATGTTTAATTTATTTTCCTTTTTATCTTCTTTTCTTCATCCGTCTTTTCTTTCCATTTCCACATGCGCTTTTCCTGGAAATAACGATACCTTTTCTTTCATTTGACATATTGAGTGCTCAAGTCGTGGAAAATATTTCAACCTTTTGTAGGTTTGTTGGCACTGAAAGAACTGGGATTAGATGTCCATGTGTATATTGCATCGGAGATTGATGAAAATGCTACTCGAGTAAGTGAACTAAATGTTGTTTGACTTTATACTGGAGGTCCAATAAGTGCAATCCCTTACTGTTGTACGGTGTTGTGAAGATGGAAATGGAATACCAGAAACTAACCTAGCAGCGTTTGTTGGACTCAAAATACGCTCGCCATTTTCTTAGCCAGTGCGCTTACGAGAGGCATTCACCCCCCTGAACGTCCACCATTTTGAATATTTTCAGAGGTGAATGCCTCTCACAAGCGCACTGGCTAGGAACATTGCGATAGCATTGCAACGGTTACGCAAAAATATAAGCCAAACCAAGAAGTCGGCCTTCTGCAAGTTCACTATTCTGTGGTTGTAGGCTTCACTCGGAGATAAGACGTAGCACGCTAACTGCATCTGTCACATTAATTTTACTTCCCATTTTTATGATGATTAATCCTAGTAAGAACCTGTGAAAACATTTACCATGCAGCCTCTAGTTTTTGGTGCCCAGCATGTCTGTTCTGTGCTGTACAAATCTTCATGTTCATTAAGGTTGTAAAAGTGCAGCATTGCGAGGACGACGTTGTCCAGTTTGTTGGTGACATTGAGCAAATCACACGTGAACAGGTATTTCATACTCAAGATAAGTTTTCGTAGATGAAATTTCGACCCCTAATTTTATAATGCATTTTTAGACCTATACTTAGGAGCAGAAAAAATGCCAAAAAATCTCGTTATTTTGTATTCAGTATTTTGCGTTTATTTGTTTATTCATTTGACTTCACCAAAGACCATGCTTTATGTTACATATACACAAGATATATGATTAATAAATCTTTAATAAACAGCTGACACGGTGCACGCGACTGATTTGCTAATCATATCGGCCCTATATTGGTATGTTTCGGTACCAACGTATTAATATAATGATTGTACCTCCCGAGTTTTCAGTTATTTTATCGTACAGATATGTTTTAACCTAATATATAATATTTTAAAAACACATTTATATACTAAACCATAGTAAAGGAACATATAAGTAAACAAGAAAAATCTAGCCTACACACAGGTGCAGCCCAAAGCAATATAGCATTGAATTACTAATGTCATATTAACAAAAATTTCTCCTCTTTTCAGATTGAAATGTGGGGTCCTTTTGATTTAGTTATAGGTGCAAGTCCTTGTAATGACTTATCCATCGCAAACCCTGCACGTCAGGGCATTTATGGTTAGTGGAGTTAGCTAATAGTATTATTGGTATTGTGTTATGTTAATGGAGGAGGTACGTCAACGTTGCCTCAGCCCACTACACTGAATGCCTACATATTGGTACGCTGTGACGGTTTTTCTCACGTATATATAGATATTTAACAATTATTGAATGAGGTTGAGCAAGATTTATGAAGCCAGAGGGCTTCATATCTGGCGAAAACCCAATTCAATAATTGTTTTAATATTTAAAAGTCGAAACATTTGACCAGTTTTCCCCCCTAAATCTTTCCTTTATTCTTTCATAAGGACCTTAAGATGTTCCAAAACTTTTCGTGGCTCTGACTTGTTATTCATATTTCATGATTATAGTTTCGAAGTTGTTTCCTTTAATAAACATGCAATTTGCTGCAAATACAGCCGAAGACGTCACCATATTGCTTTGGTCGTGTTTCCACATTTCGTTTTCGTATTTTCATTGCATGATGTCGTAACGTTGAATATGATTTTTTCATATTCAACGTTATTACGTCACGGTCCGGTCGCTCCGTTGAATATTGTGTCAAAACTCCATAATTGTCAGCTATTGAGTTAATATGACGATTTCACGGTCGGCTGTCAGCCAATCAGAACCCATGAATTTTTTAAATAAATAATTATAAATCTATACAAACATGATATTATCATGTTCCCTGATGACGGCTGTAAATGTTATGGTGCAGCTGTGTGTTATGTTATGATGTGTTAAAAAAGCCTTTCTCACGATGACGAATATCCGCCATCTTTGGGTGGCATCTAATTCTCGTTAATCAATGCCGACAATTAAAACAATGTGAAAAGCAATTTTTCAAAATAAAGTAACCATTTACAAAGCAAATTTACCATCATTCGTCCTAAAAATTATAAAAAGTCGCTGTTATGTGGGCTTATCTCGCAGACTTGAAAGCCACCAAAAATGGCGGGGTAAGAAAGGCTAATTGGGTTTCATTATAATATGTGATATATTTTATTACAAATGTTGTCCAAGTAAAAGAGACATTACAGAAATAAATTTTACATTTCATGATAATATTTTGATCACATGATGTGGATGTATTTTTAGAAGCCTTGTTGTAATTTCTTACTTACAGAGGGAAGTGGTCGTTTATTCTTTGAATATTTTCGACTGTTAATGTATGCCAAGCCACAGCGAGATGACTCTAGACCTTTCTTCTGGTTGTTTGAAAACGTTGTGAGCATGCGCGCTGTGGACAAGAGAACTATTTCAAGATTTCTACAGGTAATAACTCAGCAAGATTTCTGCAGGTAGTCGCGGAGCGTGCGCGAGAGGCGGCGACTTTTCATGGATGATTTATATTTAGCCAATATATTGTAACTGTTGATGTGCCGACCTACATACTGTAGGCAATTCTTCTTGCCGGTTTCACACCTGCAATTTGGAGGTATAACTTAGTTATAAGCATGATACTGGGTGGTTTCATGGAGTATATTCAGGTGGCAGCATTTTCATGGCAATGATAACATTCACTTTCAAAATCGCTGTGGACCTTGAACTGGAAATGACATTCAAAAAATTGTAGTCAACAGGTTGTGCGTAAAACTGTGTTGTAGGTTTACATATAATATAGTTTTCCAGCTTCCCTCGTGAGACTCTTCACAGCTGGGCTTTTTAGATTATACCGTCCTCCTATGCATGATGTATTATGTTAAACTAACTTTCGATGAATTACACTCCAAATACTTACATCACAAAACGTCTTAAGGCCAATTTACACTATACACAACTTTGGCCTAAAACTGTCTCATGCAACTGGTCCTGTGTAAATCAAGCACGCAACGCACCTACGACAACGTAGACGAGTTGTGTGCTTGATTTAAACAATACAACTGCAGTTGTAAGCAGGTTACATGCGGCAGTTTTAGGCAAAAGTTGTGTAGACGTGTAAAGCGGCCTTTAAGATCCATTATAAAAACACAATGTAATGTTTCACCTGTACAATGCAATGTTTCGGTATTTTTAATACCGTTTCACCGGCACGTTACTGGAATATTAATACAACTTAAATAGTGTTATTTAACTTGAACTATACTCTAGTAATAGGTTTATACCGCACGCAGAGTCATTATTATTGTGAAACATATACTTGACATCATTTTTCCAATCGTTTATGGGGCGCCCCTGCCCCACCAAGATTTCCGCCACTGACTACAATACTGCCAAATTTCTTCAAACTAGATTATTAATACTTTCCATTAAATGGATCTAATTCTTGAAATTCATTTTTTTAGTGTAACCCTGTGGTGGTTGACGCCAAGGATATCTCACCAGCCCGCAGAGCCCGATATTTTTGGGGAAACTTACCCGGAATGAACAGGTTTGGTCTTGTATACAACCTTCCAAAAATTGCGTATAAATGATTTAAATGATTGAATTTAGAATAATTTGCGTATAAATGCAATAATTTAGACAAATATTCAATGTGTGTCTTGAAGTGGTGTTCTAAATTCTATATGAGATGTTGATGGAATGCCTGCCCAGTTATGCCAATCAACCTAAATCTCTTAAATACAATGATTTATTAATGATCTTAGAAATATTTATAGAAAGATCCTCAGGTACTTTAAAAAGGGTAGTTTACTCGAGGTCTTAATTTGTATTTGTAGTTGTATAACTAGGGTGAACACCAAACGTCATTTGCTGAGTTGTGTACAGTACATAAATAAACAAAAATGGCGGCACAACTCGCAAGTTTATAAACTACGATTTTGCAAGTTTGTGTTAAAATAAAGAATATAGAAGAGAATAAAAACACAACAGGCAACAGGGTATGCTGCTGAAACCGTTTAAGTAGGTTGTTTTATTTTTAAACTTGTAGTTAAATTTAATACAATGGTTGTGTATGAATGTCGTTGCTTTTCCTTTCGTCGTTATATAACAAAACACACTTATATTAATGTCTGTCCCTCTGGAAATAGTTTTGTTTCCCCTCGAATCTCAATGTCATGCAGACTCTCAGGCAAACAAAACTATTTTCCTCTGGAGCAGACATTAAGTGCATGTATAATATATATTCGAGGTAAAGTCAAAGATAAAGGCAACACATGACAATATATAACAATACAATAAACTATCAATCCCTTTATAATAAATAAATCCCTGACCCCTATATTAATTGCGATTCGTGTAGAATGTCGCGTGTAACTAATTAATTTATGTGAGCTAACTGATTTAGAAATCCTCTGCAATCATTTATTCTAGGCCGACCATTCCTGTGGCTGGTGATAAATTATCCTTGCAATCTTGTTTGGAACCACATTGTGGTCGCAAAGCTCGTGTAAGTAATCTTTGTTTTGTGTCAGTTACCCAGTCAACAATATTGCCATTTCCAATATTTTATTTCAGTTTACAAAAATCCAGACAGTGACAACGAAAGCGAACTCCATCAAACAAACTAAACAGGGTATTTTACCTGTTGAAGTATCTGATAGTGACGTCACTGAGGATTTGTTATGGTGTACTGAGATGGAAAGGTACACATTTTCTCTCTCCCTTTTTTCGTCTACCTACAGCATATTTAGGGACCATTCATTATTTATGACCGGGGGTGGGCTGGCAAAATTCAATTAACAACTAAACAAAATGTCCTGCCCCACCCCCTGCATCACAAAAAAATTAAATGACCCCCTTCACATGAGTTCTAAAAAATAGTACCCCCACACACACACACACACACCACCACCACCACCACCACCACCGACAATATAATAAATGTACAGTACTGTATAGAAATGAGCTCTTTAAACTTGTTGTTAAAGGCATCAGATCTTTCATTTACTTGTGCTTTCAACATGCAATCAATATGTATGTCTATTTAACCCATTAATTAAGCTGCAGAGTTTTCTGTCACGACGAGTGAAATCGTCTGGTGTTAAACAAGTAAAAAAATAAGTAGGGTGCAATGGGTTAACTAGAGACATTGTCAGATTTTTTGGTTAACCCATTAAGCTACAGAGTGCCGAAGAGGCTAAAGTCATACCAGTTTTCGCTACAAAGAGTGTAGTAACTAGTAAACTGTAGAGTGTAGTTTGCTCCAAACGTAAAAAGTTGCTGAAAAGTTGCCGAGCACAATCGGGACATGCCTAGCAGCGCTTTTCCGTTGACAAGTAAAATCAGGTCAGGAGTATAGGGTACTTAGGAGTAGAGTTAGGGTAGCTGAAAGCGAGGGCCAAAGGCCGGAGGAAATTTTTAAATTTAGAGTCTCTGAAATGCCATTCCCTGGACTTTGGAGAAGATTTGACAGAATTCTGATGGTCAGAAAACAGCATTTTAGTATGTCGATATTTACAATTTAATAGCACTAAATTGGCGAAGGCGTATTTTATTAACTATATGTTGGATAAGTTGCAGGAAGGTATGAGAAATATCTTCATTCTTTGCTGTTTGTCATGGATAATGTAGCCGCTAAAAATTAATCAATTGTCAGTATTTTAAAGGTATATTATTTAAATGATAAAGGCTACATGATTTTGGAAAAAATAATGATTATTAGCAAATGATTGGGGGGAGCTGCAGCCCCCCCCCCCCAGTTGCTACGGCCCCTGGGTTAGGAGTAGGGTTAGGGTATACGTACTACGTCAATGAACTACAAATACCGCTAAACAGCTAGTGACTTGGACATTTGACTCGGGCTCGGATTTGACTCGGACTTGCCACGGTAAACCGACAAACTCTTTACTATAAATTAAACCATGAATAAAATACCTAGTATAAACTACCTAGTATAAACTAGTGTATATAGTATATGCCAACCTTTCCCTGGACCGCTGGACGTAACGTTGCTACATCGCTTACTGGTTATAATTATCTTTCTTTGATTAAAATATACATAATTGAAATATGACAAACATTTATGGCAAGTTTATGGCAAAAGTTATAAGGTAGATGTTCGATTATTTTTCATGATATTAGCTGTGCGCACTGTATTTTGGGTATTTGTGCATTACAATTTGGGTCTGTCTGTTGATTAAAATTGAGAATTTTGCTAGCTATACATGAATTAAATTTGCTGCCTTGCTCACTCCCTGTGGTATAGCAATAATTGTTACATGTCAAATGTTTCTCCACTATAATATCACAATAATAAATAACTGGACCCCCCTTCTGAACCAATATTTTTAGGTGCCCCCCCTTTCGGTCAAGAATAGCTCATGACCCACCCCCTTTTTTTGCCAGCCCACCCCCAGTCATAAATAATGAATGGTCCCTTATTTAAACTGTATTTTTTTTCATTACAGTCTTATGAATCGTTAGTGAAAACCCCCTAACAGTATGATGAATAGTTAGTGAAAACCCCTGTCTCTTAATGTCTAAAAATAGACGTTCATTAATTAAGCACGATAAGTTAGATAACTTCTCAACATTTAATTTCGGGAGTAGTTACTTCAGGACGTGTCTAGATATATGGAGGCGAGCCAACGCGAGTCCCCGAGCTAGCTCGCATTGCAGAGCTGATTTCATCCCGTGTTTACAGGAGACTAAAGTTCGCACTTTCCCGAACAGTTATAACCCACAGAATCGCTTACATAGACCTGTTAAGATCGATATCTGTCGAGAAAATGCTTTTGATTCGCGTGAACAGAGCAATAACACACAACTCGCTTAGGCGAGCCAGCCCGATAACTGCGTTTACATGGGAAATTTCCAGCCCGCCTAGGCGAGATCCCTGCATCACAAAGCGAGATATTGTATATAGGCGGGCCATAAGATGAATATTAGTGTTAGATCTCGGCAAAGCGAGCTAACTCGGATACCCGGGCTGGCTCGCCTCCACCCCTAATTTGTGGATTAACCACCCCTCTCCACTCCTCCCCCCATAATGAATTTTCAATATTTTTAAGGCCCGTTTATACACTTGCAATTTTTGCTGCGATTTTAGGTGCGATTTTCTTTTCCTGATGTATGTGCATGAACGAGTGGATGAATTAGGAATGTTTAGATGAGGTACATATACTCAGAGCATAACTTATTTACTTGTTCACATCCATCAAAAGAGGAAAATCACACTAGATATCAGCAAAAATTGCAAGTGTATATATATAAACGGGCCTCTAAAACTTTTCACAATATGCATTCACTAACAGGTTATTTGGTTTCCCTGCTCATTATACTGATGTTGGTAATATGGGAAAGAATCAGCGACAGAAACTTCTTGGAAAATCATGGAGTGTTCCAGTTATCAGACATCTTTTGTCCCCACTAAGAGAGTACTTTTGCTCAAAATCCAGTGCAGAGATTCAAAATACAAGCTAAATATGCTTCATGTTAAACTCAGTGAGTAAACTAAAATATAACTGGAACGCTCTTTCGAAAATAATTGCGCTGTGATTGTTTTTGAAAACCAGCTTTACCGTCAGACACTTTTAGGCATTAAGGGAAAAACCACATTCAATCACGATTTTTTTCTTGACCAAACTAAAATCTGTTGTCTTGTTTCTTGTATGATGTTTTATGAAAATCAAGAATATATAAAATATTCTTTCCAAAACGCCTTCCATTAGAGATTTCAAAATTTCTCTTGGCCCTAGGGCCAAACCTGTAGTTAGAGTCACGCAGGCGTAGCCCTCCAACTCAATCAGATCTTAAATTGGCTTTGAGTTTCATGCAGGTTCCAACTTCGGCTATAGCGTTAGCGTTCCAATTACATTTTAGTTTATTTTAATTTCCATTAACTAGGTAAACTAAGGAAGACTTCGCTTTATACAGTGAACGCACATATCTTAGTTTTTATATTTGTAGAATTTCTATTTTGGAGGTTGGGGGGTTTGGTTTATTGTCGGCACAGTTCAGTAGATGATGGTCAACTTTGTATGTGATGCGTTTGTACAAGCAATTATAGAACATATCCAGAACATATCTGCCTCCAAAAAAAGCCCAAAAGATATATTGACTGTTCGAAAAATGGTTATTCTTTTTTTTCCTGAAATTAGTTCAATCAAGAGAATAATCGCCGCCTGATGATGACATATCCGTTTTACAAAATGTAACTATAATACCATGTTATTATTCTCTTTGAGAAACTAAATCTTAAGTTTAAAGCTTAAGTTTTAAGCTTGGAGTTTGTGCTAAATTTAGCAAAGAAGACTGACTAGCCTCGTTTTGGTGCATTTTGCGCGTTTCATAGGGCTATAAATATAATTTCGCTTCCATGGATCGTTTTAAATTTTAAAGATGCTGTAAAGTCCGTTCTGCGCATCAGTTCTGCTCATAACAAAGGGGGACCCGCAGATATAAACATTGCTCAAATTTTGCATCTTTCGAACTTTCTTGATTTGAAACGTCTTGTTTATATTCATTACAAGCATAGCGAACCAGAAACGTGTTTGTTAGTATATCATATTTTACAAATATAGCAGTTCAAAATGTAAACAAAGCGATTTTTACATTACGGACTTTGTAGCATTTTTAAACTCTTATAATTATGCACTTGCCTTAAATACCATTCGTGCTAAAAAAAGGTTTTATTAGCCTGCATGGTAATGCATAAATTATACAATAATGGAAATTGCGGCGCCTGATTTAGGAATCGGTCAACAGCTAACTCGAAAAAGAAGTAAAGAACTAACATAATTTTAGTCGATCAAAATCTCTAGTTGACCACCATCTGCTGCACTTTAGTGGTGCTAAGTGGAACTGGCATGTCACGGTACATTTATTAATTATTCACATGGTAAAAATCATTGACTGTAAATGATATTTATATTTTTATACAAACAACTTTTTAACATTCATGGACAATATTACGCACATATTTTATTCACTGATTTAAATTGTTTTGATATATTTTTTCTTTCTGGAATTTTAAGAATTCATTCCATTAAGTGGTGCTGTGTGTCGCAGTAGGGATTCCCACATGCATGTGCTAAAAACCATTGGTGAAGCTTATGAGATGTTCACCAACTAATCAAAAGCGATCAGCTCATGTTATAGCAAGAGGTTCATTAAGAAAGAAATCCAAGTCAGCGTCTTCCCTGCAGCAATAAATTGAATTAACATGAACAAATTACATCGTTACATTCAAAAGTACAAAAATAGAGACAATCCTGTGCAAAAATTATTGAGACAACTAAGTCATTGCCCGCCTCCCCCCAAAAGAATGTTGGGCAAACGATACGAAGGTATATTGCCAGGTTAAATTTTTTTTCAGGGGAAGGAAGAAAGTATATAATCACAGAAATAGAACGAAATATATAGTCTCATTATTTTTGCACGCGATTGTAGATCTCGATCTCCGTCAAGGTTTAAAAGTATGCTTAATAATGCTTTATCTGTAAAATTATGCTATAATGATAAAAAGATTTTAGATGATACACCAAAGAGATGATGATGTCTGAACTTCAGTAAATTTTGCTTATACCGTATAAACCTCTGATTATAAGCGCTGAGCTTATATATAGTATTATAGAGGATATTAGACAGTTGCGAAGAGATATGGATTTTATGTTCGAGTGGCAAAAACAATATCTCACGAGTGAGCGCAGCGAACGAGTGAGATATTGTTTTTGACACGAGAACGTAAATCCATATCTTCTCGCAACCGTTTAATGTTCAGTTTAATATTATATGGACTTATTTAGAGTGAAAAAAATACACACAAAGACGATATGTAAATAAGCACGCGAAAGCGACATTTTTTAAAATTATATTGCAAACATAAAACTAGAATAAATTTTACTTATCTCAAGATGTCTTTTAAATGTTTTCGTGTTATTTCCAACGTTAATTACGAACCAAAGACCATTTGTATTTTCAAAACAACAACAATGAAAATGGCGGGAAATTTTCGAACTTCGTATGTCACTAGCAGGGGTGAAATGCGGAAAATACGCGCACCTGGTCCCGGATGTAGTGACGTATGAGTTCTACGAGTGTTGTAGTTTCCAGTAAAACACCGTTGTCCGTATAATAATCTTTCGTAAGCGATTTTTGATGGGCTTGTATAAGAGACGGCAGAGGGGGCTTATATACGGGGGGCTTATACATGGACGATCTTTTCTGTTAGTAATAAAGTCAGTCATAAACAGGAAAACAGACATGTATTAGGCTAATCGCGCTTTGATTAACATAGTAAGCTATGACAACGTTTTTAAATATCGTTCTCTGTTATATTAATTAAAAAGCAATGTCAATGTTGAATAACGCAGTGGGCTACTGAGGGGGACGTATATTCGGGGGAAGGGCGGAGGCTTATATTTGTAATGAATTACGCGAGCGTTGGTATACATGCGGAGGGCTTATACACGGGGGAGGGGCCTGTATTCGGGGGGCTTATATTCGTAGGTTTAGAGTATTGCTGTATATATATATATATATATATATATATATATATATATATATATATATATATATATATATATATATATATACTATTTAAAAAACGAGCAGGAGTGTTTTATTAGGTTTAAAGCCACGAGCGCGCAGCGCGAGTGGCTTTAGACCTAATAAAACACGACCTGCGAGTTTCTTAAATGGTTTCAAAAACGTATGCATAATAAGTCAAATCTTTATGTAAAAATCTTTATATAAAAATCTTTATATAAAAATCTTTATATAAAAATCTTTATATAAAAATCTTTATATAAAAATCTTTATATAAAAATCATTATATAGTTTGCATAACAATGGTCTTTTGTAAAGTGTTCTTTAGCTGGTAGGCTTATAAAGACGTATGCACGTGACTAATTTCTTACTCAAGATTGGATAATTGGTTCATGAATTATTAATGATTTTTCAAATATATATATATATATACATATATATATATATATATATATATATATATATATATATATATATATATATATATATATATATATATATATATATATATATATATATATATATATATATATATATATATATATATATATATATATATATATTGGGGAAATTAAGAAAAGCATCGTTTATCTCGTTCGCTACTGCAATCGTTTCTGTTTTAGAGTGCACAATGCATGTTCACTGGTCTTAAGGCTTTGAGGATTTGCTGTATTTCTTCACTATTATGCACCACTAAGCTTCTTAACTTCGTTCCCCCAGTCGTTGCCCTCGCAAGAAAGAACTTTATCAAACATATTGGGAATATCCAACAGTTCTAAGTATTTGCGAAATGCAAGACGAGAGCTCGGTCGTAAGTCTCTTTTCCTCACCACTAACTTTTATATCTTTTGGAGCTGGCTTCGATCTTTCGGTTTTAGCTCTACAGACAGGCCGAAGGGTGCATATTTTACTGGTTGGTCGTAGAACTTATGTTCATCTGTCAAAATGAGATCTAGAGTATTCTTACCTCGCGTAGGAAAGTTGATAAGTTGTCGTAAATTGTAATTATACTTCAATTAAGCGTGAAATATTTAATCTATTGAAGTAACCCAAGATAATAAATCCACCATTAGAAAAACGAGATTCCAACGCTGAGAGGCAGCTCGACAAGTAATCTAGCATTGCTGGAGCGTCTGCACTAGGAGCTCGAGGGTGGTAAACAGTTCCAATGACTAAATTGCTAAATCCTCTCGGTAATCTAAATATGCGCATGTTGATCCATAGGACCTCGAACAAATCGTTACTGATTTCGTCCAATCTATCGAAATCTATTGCTTCTTCAATATTCATGTAAACGTCCCCGTGTTGACCACTGGTTCATGTCTCTGCGGATGAGATTATATCCCTGAAGATTGACTACATTGTCGTGTACGTGGTTATGTAACCAGGTCTAAACTATACTACAATAACATTGACATTACATTGAATAGAAAAAAGGCAGGGACGTGAGAAGCATTTGAGTTTTTACTTATGATTGTGTGAAAATGCCTTGGAATCACCGCCTGCATGGGTGGTTTATAACAAGCGTTAGGCTATATGGCTTGCGTATAAGCCGTAATTTTAGCTGCTTGGAATTGATTTGCTCTACTTCATCAAGTTATAAATTCGTTTCAGAACAGTAGCGAATGACATTCCACTGGGTGGAAAGCTCCACTTTAAGATTAATATTGTCGGGGATTGCCTTACTTTGTTTTGAAATAAATTTAGGCCTAGCATTCAAGCCAGGGCTTATTTTAGCCGCGGCTTGCGAACAAATTGACTGTTTATACGAATCGTTCGCGACTTATTTAAGCTGTGACTTATTTTAGCTCGTATAAATGGCCCTATTGTTTTTCAGTTTTTAGAAGTACAGGAAGATATTCTGTTACCATTTATATTTAAACTAAATTGCTACAGTACATTATAGATTTACGTATTTTCGACAAAGACGGAGTCCCAGATCCATCAACTTTTTTCGGTCTAGTAACTAAACAATTGTTAAGGGTTAAGAAACTATAATACATTGGACTTTTCTAAAATGTTACAGGTCGTGTTTTCATCTCTGTTTTCTTCATAGATATGACGTCGTTTTTCGATTTGTGCCAGTTAATACCCGACTCTGATTGCTCACCGGCCTTGAGGTACTGACCGTTGAGGTTGGAGGAGTAACAGAACTTATACCACCAACCACCTTTTTGTCGCGCAGCACAGTTACGATTTCCATTTCCATCATTGTCTTTGTCTTTAGTGGTGAACTTTATATTGTTGTGGTAACTCAACGAATCTCGAGCATTACCTAAAAATATTACTTTAAGCACTGAAGTTTGTATCATAAGAAAAATGGCCACCTTAGGAGAAACATGGGTCGGTGCAATAATTTATATTAGAACACTAATTTATATATAATGTTTACAACACGAGCGGCCGATTTGTCTGATGATTTAAAAGGCAGGCTAATTAACAATTAGACAACGAAGCCGAGTTGTCTATGAGCGAATAGTCAACGAGGCGAAGCCGAGTTGACTATTCGTTCAGAGACAACGAGGCTGAGTTGTCTAATTGTTTTAGTATAAACCACACAAAGAACACGGAATTTTTCACTTGATTTTTATGTAAAATAATAACGTTTTAACAAAATGAGCGTTTAAATGGCTTCCTTTGGCATTGCCGACATTTCGCCTTGGCTTTGTTGACAACTACTCAGTGTTGCGAACTCCCAAGAATGACTTGAAAAATACATCTTGTGAGTTTTAAAAAAGTTAAAAAACATGTCGTAAAACAGTATAATAGTAAGAAACCGTTGTAGAAGCAAATTTTGGTTAATTAAAACTTATTTAAAAGAAGCAAACAAGGCTTAAAAAGTCCAAAATTTCGAACACAAAATGGCTTCCCGAATTGTTACTAAATTAGTAAATAAAGTTTACGTTAAAAAGCCGTATAAAAATGCGCACACATGCAAAAGAATCCGATTATCCGAATGTCGTTGAAATCTTTAAAATATCTGGAACATAAAGAGGCAAACAATTTCCATAATCTAGTGTATACATAGACAATAGTTATAAAAAAGGCTCGAAAAAGCGAAAAACTCGGCCAAAATCCCAAAATTTAAACGAAAAAAACTCTTTAAAATGACAGCTAAATACATGAACTCGTACTTAAAACAAGCACACACTAAAGAGGTTGAGAAAACAGGGGTAAATACCTTAAAGTATTCTTGAATTTCAACAGTTCTGCTTGGAATATTAACAAACATTGTGCATATATTTTAAAAATTCGCCTGTCACTTTCATGTTCAAAACTACGAGCAAAGTTGAGAAAACTTAAAAATTTTACCGCATGTGTCAGCAGTTTCCAAGATTCTTTGTTTGTGTGTAATCCAGAACCAAAACTAAGCCGCCATTTTGATAAGCTTTTTCCCTTTAAATGCAGCTTTTAATACTTAAAAACGGCCATTGACTCTCGCGCCCTTCGCCGCTTGTTGCTACTAGTAGGCAGGGCGCTGTAAAACACCTTTACTACGTAGTGTTTTACTACGCCCTGTAGTAGGCTATCACTAATAGCCTACTAGTAGCGTAGCCAATCAGAACGCACGATATATGATAGCCTACTAGTAGGTTTATACTAATATTGATTAGACATACAGGTGTCGAATAAACACAAATCTCTTTTGAATTTTCATCGTGAATTGCTAAATGAGCATTTAAAGAAATTTTATATAAAGATTTTATCCAAATTTTCATTTTCATTATATTTACGTTCAACATTTCCCTTGTTTAGAATTCTTATTAAAATTACTAGAACGGTATCTTACAGTTCCTTCAATGATAGCAGTCTAAATCAATCACTGTCATAAATTATAATCTATTTTTCAATTTTATTTTAAAATAAAAAAGTAATCAAAGTATAATACATTAGAAACTTATGGAACTCTTGTCAGGGGAATGTCAGGCATGACAGGCAACTAAATTCCAATGCGATGCAATGTCTTATCTACGAAAATTAACAACAATACGAAACTGGGATATATTGTGAGATGTTCTACAAAATTGTTTGAATGTTTTGAAACATTTTCAACAACGATCTTAAGTTACGAAACAGTAAATGAATGAGCTTACTGATATTTACACATGATTTTTTATTCTCCTCTCCAGGGGCGTGGGAAGCTAATTTAGTTTTGGAGGGTTGAATGTGGTGCGTAAGACACCACACAATTACTGGACTCTCCAAAACTGCTAAATGCCATGCTTTTTAAAATCCATCAAATAATACACGCAAAATACACAGGAATGGTTCAGGATGACTAAAATATAATCAAAACGTTGGGAAACAAAAATACTTTTTTCCGCACACTATGACTGCATGCTCAAACTACAATGATGGTCAAACAAGATGGCTTCCCTATCTGCCACTTTTCTCCGGGAGCTAATATTGTATATTAAGAGGCTAAATAGAAATCGTGTTGTTTTTCATAAATATTTGGAAGTTAGGGACACGAACTTCTCGAAACTGCTGATTAAAAGGATTCGTCATGATATTTGGGAGAAATTTCAAGTGCGAATGTTTACATCTATTAATAAATAAATAATATGACAATTATTGAATCCAATTTTCACATGATATGTAGAATTATTTGGTCCTCCGCTTTCAGTTTATAACGCAAACCTGGCTTTGATAATTCTTCATATCATGCTCAGCCTATTAAATACTTGTTAGATTGCTGTATATGGCTTAAAATTTGCAAATTATTTCTTACACTATCATACTTACCTGAAAAGCTGCCAACTTCCAGTTTAAAGAATTCAGATTCAGAAGCCACAGAAAAAGTCCCATACTCTGCGTAAGCTAGTTCGTTCGTAAAATATGTCAAGTCGACTCGAAGAAAATTTTTATCAGATTGTGTCGGACGATGTATTTTCTCCAACCCAAGCCAGAAATTTCCGTTCAAATTACCAAAACCGTTTTTATATTCTTGCCAACCGCGAAAAAAATCCACACTTGCGTTTTGTCGTCTTTGAAACACTGTCCAGCCTCCAGCGTCTGTTCGCATGTCACACCTGACTTGAAAAGGTTCCCCGTCATCTGGTTTGATTGTATATACACCATCATATCTGTGCCCCGCTTTATATAAACTGGCACAACTCTTTTCTGAAACAAAAAATTGTAATTATGATGGGGCTGTCCAACCATCTGCGCCGGCTCAAGCTCGATAATATATTCTCCAACTTCGTGTCCTTTTCAATCATTCTCTCAGTCTTCGTTGAAATTCCGACTCATAACTATATCTTTGATTTCAAACTTGGAAGTAAAACAATTTAGTATTTTTGCATAAGTTAACATAACAAATCCTACACGTTGATTGGTCAAATTTGACGTATTAAGCTGTTATATTCAGAAAGACAGTGAAGAACAGTATCTTTCCCATCTTCTGACATCATTGAGTTAATGTAGTAAACAGACATTTTTTGCTTTAACCTCTTTACTTGGTCATCCATTAAAGCCAATAATGGGGTTACGACTATGGTGATCCCTTTAGATATTACAGCAGGTATGGCATAACATAATGTTTACCTCCACCTAATTTTCAAAGTGGCGGCTAGCAGTTTTGTGGAAGTTACTGATAAAGAAATAAGCGAAATTAAAATAAATTCAGTCCCAAAAACACAAAAGACTTGTGTAAAAATACTAAAACAATTATTTGCTTCAGGCACGGTGATTATTGGGGAATATTCACCTCGACTTCGTCTCGGCGAATATTTATCATTTATAGACCTGGAGCGAGTGGGATTTGGCGAAATATTACCCAAAGTGATGATATTATCATCACTGAGTGCAATATTTCGCCGAATCCCCCGAGCGGAGGGTCTATAAATGATGTATTATACCGCAAATTAAAAGCTTCCAAGTTGAGAATTAAAAATCCCCGGGGAACATGGGGCGGAACATTGTCAAAAGGAACGCATTCTCGCTAATTGATGACTTAAGGCGTGATATCGCGATTAATTTCATGCTCACGTGGCGCAAACTTAGCTTCCTGATTGGACAATTTGAGGTTGAGGTATAATATTCCCCGCTAGCTAATCACCTCGCCTTCGGCGAATTGTTAAATATTGTGAATATTAATTCATACGGAGTGTATGCTTTATATACATAAAGTTGCTGCAGCTATTTTATGGACACTTTAGGCGGCTATTCATTGTAACGCATGCTATTTTTAAATCATGTAGCTAAAACATACCAGCTGGTTTATTAGTGTTGTTTGCGATATAATCGTATAGTCAACATACCTGCAAATGTCGAAAATGAAGGTTGAATCGAAGTTGAATGCATTGAATATTTTGACGTGGTCATCACACTTAAGCTTGGTGTAACTGACGAAGTTACGTCTTTGATGTGGCCAATATTTTCAGTAGAAAAAGAAATCATGGTCATGGCCATCTCACTTGCAGCCGTTTGAACTGCTGTTTTATTTAGAGTGGACATTGGGTCTTTAACTGCCGTAAATATGATGGACATCATACTTGAGGTTGAAACAACTGATGATGCTTCTTCTTTCCAATGTCCAACATCAGTGCTCGCACTCGTTGTACGCTGAATAGACGAGATTTTCGAAAAAAATTCGGATAAGTGTCAAATGAAGATTAGATTAGATTAGGGTTAGATTAAGATTAGGTGTTAGGGGTTAGGTATAGGGATCAACATGTGTCGCGAATTTACTATATTGATAAATTTGGACGTGTTAACAATTTACTCATATAGTAAATTCAAAGGTGGAGCTCATGCTGAAGGATTTTGAATGCATTAGCACAGAATGCTAACCTATTCAGAAAGTCATCTCTATTGTTTTTGCGAATTAAAGCGCTATTCGTCATTGGTCCGCCCCTCAGCAAGTGCCCTAAACAGAAGCTCTCACTACCCTGACGTCATCGCCTCTATTGCATTTCTGCATAGGGCATTTGCTGAGGGGCGGATCGATGATGAATGGCACTTTAATTCTCAAAAAACAATAGAGATGACTTTCTGAATAGGTTAGTATTCTGTGCTAAATTAAAGTAGTCAACGTCCTCTGGGTTGCCCACACACACACACACACACACACACACACACACACACACACACACACGCACACGCACACGCACACGCACACGCACACACACACACACACACACATTCCCCTCCCCAATTGTCTTATTAGTTAACCTGCACCGAAGCACGAAAACGAACGAATAGCTTCATCAACTGAACGACTGTACTGTTCACATTTGTTCAACTCAACGCTTTCTATTGGCTGAGACAAGTTTAATTATCATATTCCTTTCTTTAGTTGAGCTATCGTAAACAGGTGGGAAATTTGTCGTCGCTGACCACAAATTCGCGGGCAGAAACAAAGCTCCATTGCATTTACATTCAAAACAAAGCAGACAGTTAGCAAGAAGCTGTTTAAGCTGACCATTTTTTGCTTTACATTCAAACGATTTACAAATTGACGGTTATTCTTTTAAAATTCGATCATGAATTCCTTGTTTTGGCATGACTTTTTTTGTAATCGAGTGATTGGAAGAAGTGAATATGGCGACGTGAACATGGGAGCAAATATCGTATACGTTCAGCTATGGCTTGTTTAATACCGTAATAAACGAAGAAAAACGTGATATGAGAATGAAATGTAAGTTGAAATTAATTTTAATTATATATACCTCACATTTTCCATCCAAGATGGCTACGGTTACACCTTTATTCACAAACACAGAGAAAATAGAACAAGTGGTGGTGTTGGATTGTATTTTTCAAGTGAATTGCAGTTTAAGAGCAGAAATGATTTGCATTTTTCAGATTCAAATTCAATAGACGCATTATTTATTGAGGTGATTAATTATCAAGGGAAAAATTCTATTGTTGGAGTTGTTTACAGACCATCAGATCAAAATCTCAATACTTTAGTTCATGAATTTAATAGCTTAGCTGAAAAAATATCGAGAGAAAACAAACGATGCTTTATATTTGGTGATTTTAATATAAACTTTATGAATTATCAATGTCATAACAAAACTGAAGAATTTGTGAATAGCTTTTTTCTAACATGCTATATCCCCGCATCCCACTTCTAACTAGGATCATAGCACACTCCGCCACATTTTTTCTAATCATTTTGATTGTCATATGACAATATTCTTTCTAATCATTTTGATTGTCATATCAAAAATGGTCTCTTTTTTTCTGACATCATCTTCCTATTTTTTCCACAATATTTAAAAACTACAACAACCAAATAAAAAATGTCACGATAACTTTTCAAGAGAAAAAATCAAAGAACATAGAAAAATTCAAAGAAAATTTATGAAGAAGTGTAAATTGGACCTTGATAGAAGACAATATTGATCAATTGGGACCTTTTCTCTTCCTTCTGTACGTAACGATTCAACATCTATTGCTCTTTTCGCTGATGATGCTAAATGTTCCCGTGTGGTTCGTAACTCAGACGATTATACTGCCCTTCAGCAAGATTTACATTCAGTGTCCATATGGCCTCAAGATTGGGGACTTTCTTTTAACAAGAACAAATGCGAAGTATTAAAAATATCCAGAAAGTGAAGCAGTATACTGGAATCCCCTACGTCAATCCCTACACCATCAATGGCCACCCACTCGCTGTCGTTCCCTTATCAAAAGACTTGGGGGTCTTAGTTAACAAACAAGCTGACGTGGGACCTCCAAATTCTTCTGTTGTTGCCAAAGCAAACAAGACACTTGGCTTCCAACGACGACACTTCGGCGTTACCTTAACTGGGCCTGCCCACAGAAGGTCGATGTACTTATCACTGGTGCGCTCCCACCTAAGTTATGCTAGCGAAATCTGGGCTCCTCAGTCATGCAGAACGGACTTAAAACTATTGGAGAGTGTGCAGAGGCGAGCTACGCGTTTCATCCTCAACTGCAGCAACGATCATCATGTCCGACCCAACTACAAGTCCCGCTTGATTACTCTCAACCTGCTTCCTATTTCCTACTGGTTGGAGTGTCGTGCCTTATGCTTTGTTTACAAGTATATGAGCGGTTCATTTAATGTGTACAGCTTGAAGATTACATACAAGTCTCAAGTGGTCGCACCAGGAGCTCTATTGATAGATTAAATCTGTATCCAGTAAACCGTCTCCGTACTTCATTATTTAGAGACTCCTTCTTCAATCGTGTTGTAAAGCGTTGGAATAATCTACCACTTGAAATACGCAAATCATCTTCCATCAGTGCGTTTAAATCTCGTTTATATAAACATTATTTTATAAAGTTACGGAACGTTTTTGATACGTAGGTAGGTCTATTGACAGCCTTTCCTGTTGTTAGTTAATAAGCAGCGAAGGTGTGTTACTGAGGAGAATGCTACACTGTACCATCCCGGTCTCTTCCTCAGATTGACTGTACAATATGCATCCTTATCTTAAAACCAGAATTAGGGTTAGTACTATAGCGCATGGGTTAAGATTATTTTCCGAAATAATTTCCATTAAATTAATTTGTTTCAAGTGGCTGTTGGTATGTGCAGTCAACCTGAGCGAGAGACTGGGCTGTCTGTTCAGTGGTATTAGAGAACTTTTAATTGAAATTTTGTGTTTTCTTAATAGTGTAAATTTCTAGTTATAATTTATGTGCGGGATTTGCCTTGTTGGGACTTCGAGTCCGTTCGCCGATCCCATATCTAACTCGCCTTTGTTGTAATGTCTTTTGTTTCGTTCTCATTTGGCATTGTAAATTTCGCGAGTTCGATTAAAGCTTCTTATCTTATTTTATCTTACACAGAGCTTTATGATACCTATGCGAATATTTATAATAATTGTTTCCCAATAAGAACGTAACAATTTAAAGTAACTCTAAAATCTGCAAGCCTTGCATTTCTAATGGCCTTAGGAGGTCCATAAACAAGAAAAACAAATTATATAAACAATTTTTGCAAAATCGAATAACTGAAAGTAAATATATGATTTATAAAAATAAATTAACACATTCTATTAGAATCGCAAAGCGCATTTATTGTGATAAGAAACTCACTGATAATAAAGCAAATATGAAAGAAACATGGAAAATATTAAATAGCATTATTAATAGGAAATCATCAAAACCTAGATTGAACACTATCTTTAATTTAAACTAGATGGAAGGGAAATGTCGAATCCTATAGAAATTGCCAATAATTTTTGTGACTATTTTAGTAATGTAGGACCCTCACTTGCTTGGTAAATTCCAATTAACATCCTCAGTTCCTACTACGTCATTCCTTCTTGGAGAATTTCCAAATTCTATTTTTCTTGCATGAGCCCGTATTAGAAAATAAAATAAAATTTACTAAGGGTGCTTGCTGACTATGATGACATTTCAATGTCTGTCATTAAATTATCTACTGATTTAATTTCAAAACCTTCAACACATATTATAAATTTGTCTTTGTTGTTCCGGATAAAATGAAAATAGCTAAAGTTATTCCTTTGTACAAGGCGGAGGAGAAATTTATTTTTAGTAACTATAGACCTGTTTCCATTTTACTTGCATTTTCAAAAATTTTAGAGAAAGTGTTTTGTAATAGGTTATTAAAATATTTAAACAAACATAACATTTATGTGCTAACCAATATGGTCTTAGAAAGGGCTACTCAACGTCGTTGGCTCTTGTTGATTTGTATGATAAAATTTCTGAGGCAATCGATAAAAAGGAATTCGCTGTTGGAATTTTCCTGAACTTATATCTAAGGCTTTTGACACGGTGGACCATAGCATTCTGTTTGAAAAACTGGAACGGTATGGTGTTCGTGGTATGGCGTTGAACTGGATCAAAAGTTATTTTTCTGACCGGAAGCAATTTGTTGAGGTTGCTGACTCGTGTTCCACCTTGAAGTATATAACATGCGGAGTACCACAGGAATCAATCTTAGGTCCATTGTTGTTTTTGATATATATTAATGACATATGTAATGTTTCAAGTTTGGCAAAATTAATCTTACTCGCTCGTGATGATACAAGTTTGTTCTTTTCCCATGCAAATGCAGTGCACTTGATTAATATGGTCAACCAAGAGCTAGAAAAAATTTCGATTTGGCTTCGGGTGAACAAACTATCTTTAAATGTAGGTAAAACCAAATTTATGATTTTCAGTCCTGAACAAAAAAGGTTGCAAGTGGACTTCAGGGTGGTGTTAAATGATAGAGAAATTAGTCAAATTGGAGAAATTGGTTTTCTGTGGGTTGTTGTAGATGAACACCTTTCATGGAAATCTCACATTAATCATGTGTCAAATAAGATTTCCAAATCAATAGGAATCATGCATGTGTAAATTTAGTTTCTTTTTTTCTGAAGAAGTCATTGTTAACATTGTACTACGTACTCAATGGTGTATACCCACACTTACAATATTGTAATATTGCTTGGGCGTCCACATATTCGTCCAATTTATCTCGTCTTCATGGTGACTCTTCAAAAACGTGTTGTTAGAATCATAAATAATAGTAGACTTGATTCTCATACAGGTTTGATTTTTAAGAATCTTCGGCTATTAAAATTTAATGACATTCGCATATCATACAAACAGGACAGTTTATATTTTCGTATGAACATAACCTGCTGCCAGGGCATTTCGGAAGTATGTTTTACATTAATAAGCAAGTGCATAATTATGACACTAGGAGAGCTAATGAATTTCACATTATAACACCTAGAACAAATATACGACAATTTTCAATGAAGTATCAAGGTCCATTCCTTTACAACAGTTTGGATATGTATATTGTAAATAGTAAATCGCTTTCGTCTTTTACAAGGAAATTAAAAAATTACCTTTGCTCACCTTATATTAATTAATTAGCATATCTGTATTCATTAGAAATATGAGGAGGTTTGATATTAAATACGCCTAATGGTTTCAAATCAAACCCAGTCGTCACATAATCCTATTTGTAAAATTATATTTTATTATAAGTTATATCATACATTACCGTAATTTATTATAATTTCATGGCTGTATAACAATTGCGTGACAAATTAAATTCATTCATTCATTCAATTAAATTCATTCTTAATGTAACTTCTGCGGTTAAGTTCAAAATACAAGCTCGCGAAATTTGACAAATTTTGAAAATATGCAAAAATAGCTTGGAATGACTTTGAAATATATGTTTTTTAAACTAGTCCATGGCCTGAATTTCAAATATAGCTACATGAAAAGAAAAAATCTTTTCGGCGTTTGTGAAACATATATATCGTCCGGAAAATCGGGGCTAACAATGTTCTAGCTATAAGTCTATTTTGATTTGGTATCTGTGATATCATAATTAGCATAAGCATACTCGGCCCACCCGGGTGAATATATTTGTAACATATTTATGTTTGAATAATTAATATCGTTCTGTGTTGTGATTGTCAGCCATCTTGAATGAATGTCTTTATTTTACATGGTGTCAGGATCCTTATGAATCCGTGCAGAATTCAAGCCATCAGGCTCGAATCTAAATGAAAACAGAAAGAAGAGTTCTTTCTATATATGATAGTTTAGTAAACGGGGAAAAAATATATATATAATGGCGAAATTTAAGACCCCAGAAATGTCTTGGATTGTACAAGATTTAAATCAAGAATGGCGTCGATTCTATAGACAAGCAATGTGTATTTTCGAAGGTCCTTTACACGATAACGAGGACAGCGTTAAAGTCAGCTATGTAAAGTTGTGGGTAGGCGATAAAGGACTTGATGTATTTGAAGGATTTACATTTGCCCAACCCGCCGATGCAAAGAAATAAGAAATTGTACTAAAGAAATTCGAGGACTATTGTACTCCACGTAAGAACTATATCATGGCCGCCTTGAAATTTAATGAAAGACGTCAAGGAGATAATGAGAGTTTTGAGTCTTTCGTAACAGACCTCAGGATTCTGGTAAAAGATTGTGGTTATAAAGACGAGGAACGTATGGTTCGTGATGCAATCGTTTTTAGTTGTAAACACACGAAGGTTCGTGAGAAGTGTATCGATTTGGCCGATACTTTGACATTAGAAAAGGCTATTGAAATCGGACGAAGCCATGAAGCCAATTTAGCTAGCTTACAGAAGCTCACGAAAGACGAAGACCCGGGCATTAATGCCATTAAACCGGTACAGCGAGACCCTCGAAACCGTCGATACTCAAATAAATTGCACACAGAGCGAGAAAACCCGAGTGGTGGATTGGACAGCATGTCGAAGGACAGATGTGGAAGATGTGGTTTCGATAAAAATCACAGAGATGCCCAGCAATGGGTCAACCAGGCGCGGATCCAGACCGTGGCAAAAGTGGCTCGAGCCACGGTCAGATTTTTCTCACCTAGGATTTTCCGGGGTTCACCTTTGTTGGATACTGCATTAGACTGCATTACGCATTTTTAAGAAGTATATATTAGTTATTTGAAATACAGCAAAATTGAACAAATACAGGTCTATAGCAAACAATTTGAATAATATCTTTTGTAATTGTTCTCATATTACAGTAATATGTGCTAAAAGCAGGAAAAACTTCCGAAATATATTCCTTGTTCAATAGTATAATTATCCAGTTAAACACTGAACTATAAAAACCGCCGAAAGCGTGCCGAATTGTGCCGAATATGTTCGGAAAACAGTCGTAAATTCGAAGCTGCGATCACAGCCACAAAATGCCACGGTCAGCGTGCAAAAAATTGCGCAATTGTTACTAAATATAGTAACTTTCTGCCACGGTGCAGCGTTGCAAACCAATCACAGGGCAAGTTGTGGTCATGTGCGCCACGGTGGCTCTATTTTGATTGCGCAATACAAATGATCAACAATAAAGTTCGATACTTGTCGACTTGACGGGATAAAGAATAATACATCACAAGCTACATGGATCGATGGATGCTATCAGGATGGAAGCTTTTAAAAAAAGTCGATGTTCTTAGCAAGCTCGTCGAAATCTTTCAACAAGCAAACCTAAGCGAACATATTTCAGGGGAATTATCGCTCTTGAGGCAACAATGTGATGAATTTATCATTGAAGAAAGGCTGCGCCGTATGAAATCTACTGGCGACATCGTGCTGCCAACGTGCGAATTTTCAAAACTGCAGTTCCCCAAGAGCCAAACTGAAAGATCTGGGCCTAATGTTCCTGTTAGGTAAGAATTTTTAATCGACTTATATTAAATTTGCATTTACGCTGGGGTCAGGGAATAATTTGTGCATGCAAATTTGTATGTATGTAAATTTTTGTTAGTGAAATAGTAATATGATCTCGAACACATGGCGGTTGTCAATAAAATATAAATTGCATTTATCCGCTATGTTGTCGTGAAATATTAGTAAAAACTCTGTTTAAAACTGTTATCAGTATTTTGCTACAGTTTACGGCTACAACATTTGATTGTCGACTGTAAAATAAAATGTTTACTTCAGTATTGGGTCTATATAGTCGTCTATTTGGTTTCACCAAGCTTTAAATATAGCGCCTTAATATTTGTAGGTTGACCAGGGGTCGGTTGTTCTAAGCTAAGGCTAATCCTTGGTTAAAATTTAACCTAGTGTTTTTGTTTGTGTGTTTCTGCATGCCTGTTTACTTAGAAGCTTTGAAGAAAACTTTCATTCATCCAGACAAGATTTCTGAAGAAATATTTCTAAATTGCTCGTGTGATATTACTCTGAGTGTATATATCCACACCAGGCAGGGTTGAAAAATATGCCTGGCCATGGTGGGATTGGAACATACGACCTTTGGAATACTAGCCCAATGCTCTGCCAACTGAGCTATGCAGTCAGATCGGTTCGAGTATGCGATACTTTGGAACTGAGTCTAGTTCCTTCGATATTAGTGTAATCTAATAATCATGATATTTGCTGTGTTAGACTGTTGGTGTAATGTACTCAGGTGAATAAGATGCTTGTGTGATGTTACTCTGAGTGTATATCCACACCGGGCAGGCTTGAAAAATATGCCTGGCCACAGTGGGATTCGAACCTACAACCTTTGGAATACTAGCCCAATGCTCTGCCAAAGAATACTAGCCCAATGCTCTCCCAATGCCTTGGCCAAAGGTCATAGGTTCGAATCCCACCGTGGCCAGGCATATTTTTCAAGCATGCCCGGTGTGGATATACAGTCAAAGTAACATCACACAATATGGATTCTTGCACTCCATTGGTGGAATTAATATTAGAATGTTAGGGTTAGTAATCCACGTGAGAATATATACATTTTAAGACCTAACCAGGAACGACTGTGAAAAATGCAGCACAAGGTCCTCTGGTAGGAATCGCAGGGCCGTAGGTTCATTTCCTACCAGAGGACCTTGTGCTGCATTTTGTGCAGTCGTTCCTGGTTAGGTCTTAAAATGTATATATTCTCACTTGGATTACTAACCCTAACATAATTTTCTAATAACATCACACAAGCATCTTATTCACCAGAGTACATTACACCAACACAGCAAATATTTTTAACAACTGACCCCTGGAGGGTGACTACCTCACAGGTGTTTGTTGTGCATGAATATTGATGTTGTTGTGGATGATGTCATCCTAATCCTGACATTAAAACCTAATCCCGAATCTAAAACTGCAACAAAATCCCATTGCTATTTCTCAAATGGCAAGGTATAACATTTGTTCTCCAGATAATTTGAGCGAAGTTTGCAAAGTATAATCACATAATTACTGTGTGGTGCAAAGAATTTGACATTCTGGTTAAAAGTTTCAATAGAATATTTACAAAATAATATAAAATAACCATTGATACTTAAATGCTTAAATTCTTTCAGTACTTCATTGTCTCTTTAATGCATGTTCTATTGCGTTAATCGGGAATGAGAGTTTGTCTGCTCACTTGAGATGCCTCACCAGTATTGAACTGTTTGAGAATGCCAAATACTATGCTAACCACTCCTTCATCGAGTCCCAGCATAAAAACGTAATAGCGTTCACTACACTTAAAAATGCCTTTGCCATGTGTGTATCTGATGCAGCTCTTACTTTTTTTCGAGAATTGTAATGAAATGCAGCAGTTTTAGAAGAAGCAAAGGAAGCTGCAAAAAATTACACATTCTCATCCATGGTGTGCATGTTTGCCTTGTCCACAGTAATTCAGTGTGCCATTCAGTCATTCTACCCACTCACCAATGACACTGTAGCGAAAGAAAATTGGGATTCCTTGGATTCAATTGTACAATACAGTATATCCACGGGATTATCTTGATGGCAGTGCAATTGAATATGTCCATATCTTTCATTGTGCTGCGATGCCACCGTCTTATTTGGTTGATCGAAGAATTCTATCTTCCAAAAATCATTTTGTTACCTTGTGCAAACCAGTTAAAGCACTTCAGCCACGAGACCATTATTTTAAAGCACACCTCCCAATTACCTTATTGAAGTCTGCGATGCCAGTTCATCCTAAAGTTCCTCCTAAAGTTTCTACTAAAGTTTTTTCTGCTCCTTCCTCTACACAAGTGACTACATTTACTAAAAAGCAGACGACTGGTCCAAAAAGAAAACAAATTAGCTTAGATCGATGCGCTTCTTGTGAAACGAGCGTGCAACACACAAGAAACTGCAGACAGTGAAATCAAATTTCCCAGCACTAGTAAAGGAATTTCATCTGTAACTCCCAACATTGGTCCTACTTCAGAAAAATCTAACACCAAAACACAACAAACTTCCACCAATTCGTGGCCAGATGATATCTAAACTACGTAAATCTGGTGTCCAGTCTTCCTGATTCAAAAAAGTACGAAATTCTGTGCAATCATTGCCATTGGAAACCTGGTTCTGATTTTTCTTTTCCTCCACACACGAAAATATTGGTAGACGTTTCCGGTTGGCATGGTTATCACGATTTCCATGGTTGGCTTACTCTGCTGTGACAAACGGTGGTTTTTGCGTCACTTGTGTACTTTTTGGCAGTGAAAGCACGCATAATGCAAGCGAGCTCCAACGATTGATGACCAGTGCTCTTCCTCCAAGTGCTTCTGCTGTCCAGAAACTATGTCAGCATGGTGAAAAATCCAATGTTCACACAACGGTAACTCTCCGTGCTACACAGTTTAAGCGAATGATCGAGAATAAGACACTTGGTATCGATGTGCAGCTGGAAAAAACCCACCCCGTAAAAGACCTACGTTGCAACTGAAACGCCAAGATGATTGAGTTCGATGTACAGCCCTAATTGGATATTTTTTGCTACGAAGAACCTGAAATACACAGGAACAGTACGTGCGGTACAGAATTGTGGTTTTATGTAAGTACAGTGATTTTGTAACATTCTAATGTTGCAACGTTCGCTGAAGAACATGATATGTTGTTTAAATATTTGACTTATTTAGTGCGTTTCGTTATTTGCTGTCTAAAATATGGCGTAATTAATGACGAATTATATGATAGAATTCGATGCTCAGAACTCAGGGAATGGCATTTCCGGGGTTCAAATTTCAAAAATTTTCCGGGGGGAAATGCCCCCGGACCCCCCTAATTATGCGCGGTTTTGAAGTGCGCCACGGTCAGGGTTTAGGCTGGATCCGCGCCTGTACATAACAAAGCAAATCGTGAACATATGCATACGAACATCATATTATATATTTTGTAAACGAAACAAGGTGTGGGAAAACCCAAAGTTAATGTTAATATAATCCTTCTTAAAATAATTATTGTACAATAAATATATTGTATCAATTCAAGTAGACATTGATAAACTACCTGTAAAGCGAGGTTAATCATTGTAGTTGTATATATCTTAATAATCAATAAATTAAGTTTTCATTATTATTATTATTATTATTATTATTATTATTATTTCTATTATTATTATTATTCCTATTTCTAAGAACCCTGCCAGACATCCAGGACCTACTAGAGCCACTCGAAAAGGCAATATCGCAGATTCTCATCCCCGCTATCACAGATCACCAGTGCAATCCACTCGATCGGGACATTCTAGCACTTCCAGCACGTCTGGGTGGCCTGGGCTTGGAAAATCCAAGTCATGAGGCAGAACGTCAGTATGTGTCGTCAAAAAGAGTGACAGCACCCCTTGTTGATCAGATTGTAGCGCAGTTACATCAGCTACCCCGACGAATCAGCGCAACAAGCCGTTAGAAAAGAAAGAGTGCAAGAGTGGGAGGAGAGGGCAGAACGTATTAGAGAGAGTGCACCACCAAGAATTCAGCGTATATTAGATGTGGCTTCGGAAAAAGGATCATCTGTGTGGCTCACAGCACTTCCCCTAAAAGAGCAGGGATTCAACTTGAATAAGAGAGAATTTCGGGACGCCGTAAAGCTGCTCTATGATTGGCCAATCGACGACATCACCTCCATATGTGTATGTGGGGATACCTTCACGGTGGACCATGCCATGATCTGCAAACGTGGAGGCTTTGTAATTATGCGCCACAATGAGTTAAGAGATCTGGAAGCGGAACTCCTCAACATTGTCTGTAGTGAAGTCCAAGTTGAGCCTGTCCTACAAGACATCGCGGGAGAGCAACTAAATGGAGGCTCCAACAGAGCACCTGATGCTGGACTCGACATTCGTGCGTGTGGGTTCTGGGAAAGTCAACGATCAGCCTTTTTTGATGTAAGGGTTTGTCATCCCAATGCTGATTCGTACAAGGACCTGGAGCTACGCCAAGTCTACAAGATACACGAAAACGAGAAGAAGCGCCTATATGCAAGGAGAGTCCTCGAAATAGAGCAAGGAACATTTACGCCACTCGTATTCACCACCACAGGCGGTATGGGAAAAGAATGTGTGAGATACTATAGTCGATTGGCAGAGTTGGTAGCTATAAAGAAAGGAGAAAATTATGCGACAACTATGAGTTGGATAAGAGCCAGAACCTCATTCGCTTTATTGCGATCGGCACTTACCTGCTTGAGGGGTTCAAGGGCAAGGAAAATCATGTATGATATTAGGAACATTGATTTTAACATTGAGAACACCGACAGTGGTATCTCTCAAACAATTTAGATTGTACAATATACAAAGTTTAATTGTTTAGTTATTTAGCGGAATATGTTAGTTTAGTTTTTTAGCTACTTAGCGGTAAATATTTTAATTATGTAGCGGTATATGAGTTTGTTTTTAAACTTTAACTGTACATATCAACAAACATTTAGACACTTTTTTAATTATACCCAAAGAACAGATTATATAATATAGTCATTGATAACAAAAGCATTGTTGTATACAGTGCTGTAAGTAACTTCGTTAAAAGTAACTAGTTACAAGTAATCGTTACATGTTTCAGTAACGGTAACGGTAACTTGTTACATTTTGAGAACATGTACCTGTAACGGTAACTAGTTACAAAAAATGCCATAAAATTGAAACGATTACAAGTTATTTTGCCAAAGTTACAAGTTACGTTTTGTTCGTTGCTATTTGTGTACGTTTTTAAAATGAAATAAATCAATACACAGTCAGGCAAGCTCTTAATCATTTACACAGGAATAATTTAATCTGACACAACAGAATCCGTTCATGAGACACAAATTTAAGTCAAGGATTGACGTTAAATTTACGCACAGTACGAACTGATCGGAATGCCGTCGCTCGCCTTCACTTGGGCCTTGGCGTCGTCATAATTGGTCTTTGGCCTCATTTCACTTGGCCTTGACTCAGTCATGATCACGTATTCACGTTTCTGCTTTTTCATTGCGAAGTCAGAAGCCACTAGCCAGTGAGGTATATTTTTTCCAATCTATTCGTTCAGACTGTATAATAGCAGAGTTTTTTTAATTGACAATTCTATTAAAAAATCGATTTGGTGGAATTTTACAGATGCATGCAGATACATCTGGTAAATAGTTATTAATCTTGCCAATAATTTTGCCGCAAGTTTCATTACCATTCGGCCCATTCGAATTGTATGCGTTCTTAATTGCAATCAATAAATGTAACTTGTAACTTTGTAACTAAGTTACAAAAAATATATTGTAACTTTGTAACTGTAACTAGTTACACTTTGGCGTCTGTAACTTGTATCGGTAACTAGTTATGTTTTTGGCAATGTAACTATAACTGTAACTAGTTACAAATAAACTGTAACTGTTACAGCACTGGTTGTATATAATGAAATTATGAATAAAGTTGTATTATTATTATTATTATTATTTTTTATTTTTCTCCACTTCAGACAAACACCTCTACGTTGTTGAACTTACCGTAGGCTTTGAATCAAACCTCACAAACAATGTTAACCGCAAGAAAGCTAAATATAAGAACCTAATTAGAGAACTAGATCAAAACTTTACATCTGTTAAATTTATAAATCTTTCAGTCAGTTCGCTAGGGGTGTTTGACAAAGAATGCCATACATTCGTAAAAATGCTAAATGAGTTAGGACTGGATAATCAACACCAACAATATTGTATCAGAAAAATGATATCTATTGCCATCCGATCAACGTACCACATCTTTTTGCTGTAGAAATAAAGAATGGACAAATCCTGAACTAATGAACATTTAAAGTAACTATTTCTATAAATAATTAACAATTTTTGTATATAAAACTATAACCACGTATAAGTGATTCAAGTAGTCAATTGTAGGTTACCTCAAGAAGTGAGATTTACAATTGTATATATCTATAAATGTTCTATTAATAAAGTTTTCATTATTATTATTATTATTACTAAATTTTGTTTGTTCACCAAAGTGCTTTTCAGCATACAATTACAATATGCAATTTAAAATAAAGCTATACTATACTATTCTATTCAAAATCTAAGTTACGATTGTCTATTAAAACCTTCATATATATGATACTAAGAAACGTTTCTGTAGAATGGTGTTTCTTATTTCAATTTTGATGTGGTGATAAGCATTGGTTTCTGTAATGTATGAACTAAATTGGTCGAGTGCAACTCTTTCACAGACCTTTCATAAAACTTCTAGAAGTGAAAGGGGTCGACAATTAGACTGTATCTCATGATCGCCAACTTTATGCAATGATATTACCAGTAGCGCAGCCAGCCCGACGATTTAGTCCCGCTATGCAAATATTTCGTGTTCATTGACTTTGAAAACAATCCATTTCTAAAGAAATGAATAATGATAATAGTTTTGAATTTGCAGAGCGGGACTAAATTGTCGAGCTGGCTACGCCACTGGGTATTACGTCTGATAATGTCCCGTGTCGGGAAACTTCACTGACGCTAAGAAACTATCTAAAATTAGATCGTGAGGGGGAATACAATGACTGGTAGACAATCTTTGACAACACCCATACTAATATTATCTCAGGTTATCAGAGCATGCAAAACGTGGAACATTAATGCTTTCATGCAAGTACGCTTCCAAACAGTACTATAAAAATGCGCTAATCAACGTTTATGATCATGACGATCAGGCACTTGGAAGTCTGTCTGTCTTAAATTTAAAAGATCGCGGTCCCTTAAATGTATTTCAGTTGTTGTTAGTTGTCTCTAACGTCGTTTGGTAAGTCTGTCATAAATATACTGCATTTGGTTGGATAGTTAAATTAATGTGATTGTAATTTTAAAGTTAATCGTTATTATATAGTTAAAAGCAATAATTTTTTTAACTATTTTTGGTGTGTTGTACAAAAAATATAATAAAAATTAAAAAATTTTAAATTATCATGGTTGCCAAGGCAACACTGAGGTAAACGCATTGAACTAAAATATATGGAACGCTACCTTAACTGAACATGCCCAGACTTGCCTGAAGCCAAATTTTACCTCCAGACACGCGTGTCTGGAGGTAAAATTCACGCGCGTTGTCGCGTTTCCTGCGTGGCGCCGAAGAACAGCGACAGCCAACCAACATGCATTTATAGCAACATGTGATTGAAAAGGTTTTGAAAAGGAAGGCACTTCTCTTGTTATGGAGCTAATCGGTTAAATTTTCATTCAATACAGCATGAATCATAACTTTTCATACGTGTATTCGATCGGTAAATCGGGGAAATGAAACATTTTTTCGTTCAAATTGAATGTGTACACAAACGACATGGATTCAGAGATTCAGAGTGGCATTGTAAAGTTGTAAACACGTAAGTGCCTTTACTAAATTTATTAAATATGCATGAAGCTCAATCGCATCTGCAACAGAGTAACTGAAATTGTATGTGATTTGAGGACAGTTTGTTTGCCAGGTTCAATCCTTCTTGTTCTTGAATATTCTGAAGCTCTTCGATATGTTTCCATCTTATGATGTTGCCATCTCCATCAATGGGCCATTCCATTTATTAAATATACCCAGGCACCCCCTATTGAGGGGTCCCTTCCAAATCCCCTTAGGATATAAACATTTTAGAACCCCCTTGGATGTGATTTTTGGAAGTTACCCCATGGATATCTTGATACCCCCTTTAGGATATCGTTTTTGCCCCCTTGGATATCACTAAAACACCTAATTTTTGCTATTTTTTGGAAACATTTTAGGTAAAAACCCCCTCCCCCATAGGATATCCAGACCCCTCAATAGGGGGGTGCCTATATTAAATGGAATGGCCCATTATAAAGGATCCCATAGACAGGGTCGAGTATCACAAAAACATCTTTGGTTGTTGGATTCTTAAAAGTTACCAGAAAATTTGCAACCCAGTGTTTTGAATGTACTAATGTTAACATCTGTGCCATCAGCTGTTACTGACCACATTTTTAGATTAGCATTTGCAACTTTTTCAAGACACTTTTTACCAGTGTGGCTTAGTCCTTTGCATTCATTTTATCAGCCAAGAGGTATCCCACTGAACATTTAAATGACTTCTGGTGCCTACCAGAAGAAAAACCAAAGCTTCTGTGGCCAATTTTTCTAAATGTCCATTAGGAATCTCATTTCCAAAGTCTACAAATCCGTAGGAGTCTTTTTCTGGATTCCAAATGGTTTGTTTTCGGATAGACATTGCGTCTATTACCAAACAGTAATCTTTGTCAGTATTTGATTGGGGCTCGGCTGATAATGCTTACCTCAACCTTCTGAGAAAGGGATGAGAATGCCTCATCAATAAAGCCTGGATGTAATTTTGTGTAATTCATCACTTGAGGCACATCTTGGTCTTTTTTTCTGAAATTGAAGGATCATTTTCATGTGCTGGACATGGTCTCACGGTCTGTTCTTCTGTTTAATTCCTCGTCATGTGCTGTTAATGTTGGTGGGTCAGAATGTACAGGTGAACCAGATGGAAAAGCATATTTTTTGAGTCGACATGTGTTGTTGGATGAAGGAGGCAAGATGTAATCAGTTGATTGGAAATGCTTGCTGCCTATATGACTGTCCTGGTTGACTTGCCATGGCTTTTTATTTACTTTTTTGAACATAATTCTCCCAACATATTTGTAAAGCATTATTTTTCAAAGGAAATCCATAACAATAATAATAATTTTTATGTAAATTCAGCTTAATTATCACCCTTCTATCTGTCTGCTTGTCTTATTTATTCTTGTGTTTGTTTTTTTTGTTGTAGGTGATGTACACATGTCAAAAGTCAAAATGTGTAAAATAGGCTTGTTTTTGTTATATTTTCTTTGAAGTATCTAATATCACTGGTTTATGTGGGGTTTTTTTGGGTTTTTTTTCTGTGTTGGTGTTGTGTACTCAGGTGAATATGATATTTGTGATGTTACTCTGAGTGTATATCCACACCGGGCGAGCTTGAAAAATATGCCCGGCCACAGAGGGATTTGAACCTACGACCTTTGGAATACTAGCCCAATGCTCTTCCAACTGAGCTACGCGGTCAGGACGGTTCGAGTAAGTGATATTTAGGAACTGAATCTAGTTCCTTCGATACCAATGTATTCTAGTAATATGATTTTTTTTTTGGCTAGTATTCCAAAGGTCGTAGGTTCGAATCCCACCATGGCCGGGCATATTTTTCAAGCTCGCCCGGTGTGGATATACACTCAGAGTAACATCACAAATATCAGGTTTATGTTTGTTTTTTTTGTGTATAATTAAGCCCAAACTAAGAAATATTGTTGCAGAAACATTAGTGATTCTCAATGTTTCCTCAAATGTTTTCCCATTTGCCCACCTGTGGAAACATTGTTGCAGAAACAAATTTTGCTTCTTGGGAAACAAGAATGTTTCCTACCAAGTTCAGACTAAGATTATAGTTGCGGAAACATTGTTTCTCCGTTTGCCCACCTTGGCCGGCTTGGGAACATTGGCAGGAAACAATGTGGATTTTTAGTAAAGTAAACAAAGGATAAATAAATACCTGTGAAATGTGAATTTTTAGTAAAGTAAACAAGAAATAAATAAATACCTGTGAAATGTGAATTTTTAGTGAAGTAAAATGAATAAATAAATACTTATAATAATAAATAAATAATAATATACTATCTATTTCTTCTTATTTCTCATTCATGGCTCATAAGGGTTGTTATCGTCATGTTTAAAGGTCGGTCAAAAGTACATTATGAAAGATTTTTACTTTTCCACACTCAGGGACAAAACTAGGTTTAACTTTGCATTCTGCTCACCTGGCATTTCGAAAAACAAAACAAATAACGTAAGTGTAAATTCTAAATAAAAACTAGGCATAGTTTTCATGAATTTCATTAAAAAAGACAAAGTTTATTCAATAAAAAACATCTTTCGGCAGCGACATGATTGCATTTTCAAGGATATTTTTTAAAAAAATTTATAAAATCAAATTTAAATGCTTGTGTTTTGGCCGCGCGTATTTATCGCGAGGAAAGACTTGGTTCTAACCGGAAATCGCGGCTTCAAACTTCCGGCTGCAGGTAGCGTTCCATATATTTTAGTTCAATGGGTAAACGTGAGTCTGCGTTCAGTGTTGGTCAATTACTAATACTTCATGATGTTCATGTCAAATCAATGTTTGGAGAATACAGGCGAGGGGTTGCTGCATGCATGCATGCATGCATGTATTTCTAGTCCCTTAGCCAACGGCGCCGTTCCGGGCGTAAGCCCGGGGCGAGGGTACTAATTCCCCCCGGCTATTTACAGCCGAGGAAAGGAAAGCACTAGCGAACTCTAAAGTTCATCAAGTACCGCGGGCGCGTGACTATGGTTCATGGGTGCACCTCACTGATCTCAAAAATATGGCTGTTTGCCAAGAGTGGGATAAGCAAGATTTCAAATTTCCAAAAACATATATTTGGAAAATCACGTTTCACACAATGAGCTTTGAAGCAATTAATGTTTGAAGAAATAAGAAAAAAATTATGCACTATGGGAAATCGTGAAGAATGGGGCAAGTTTGCTTTGAATTATTAATGTTTATGAATTTTGTTGCTTTAACTTTTGCCTAAATTTTAGGCAGGCCCAAGGAAAGAATAGTGGGCCTGCAAGCAAGACCCGGTATTTTGTACTTTCCGCGTTCGCCCACGAACGCAGCATTCTGAGTGGCTGTTTGCTGTTGGATTCTATAATTAGATAAGAGATTCATCACAAAGGCTGTCGATAAGCTTTTAAAATTTGATCCGATCACTTTTTCCGATTAAAAATGGAACAAGAACAGACTGTTTATCGTTTTCTTGAAGGAAGAGACGTTTTTGCCGTTTGCCAACGGGGATTGCTTGTCGTGAAGTGTTGGAATAGCAACATTACCACTGGGGTAAACTATAGTAACCTTTACTTGAGTCACATTAATATAATTTCAAACAGACTTGATTACGTTATATGTCCCTCAGAAAATTATCTTTGGTTGATGTTGACTCTGTTTTTGCATTGAAGAAAACAGCGCTTTTCGCGGTGAAGATTTAGAGGCAGTTGCATGTAAGCCTATTCGAAACACTTTGCCATTCGCAAGGCTTCGCTGAGAAAGCGAAACAGAATACGTTAATTGCCGTTTGAAACGAAACGATCTGGACTCTGAACGCTCTCTTCTTTTGTAGAGTTCTTTACCAAATGAAATAACTGAAATAAATTTCGTACTTTCCGCAGCCAACAAGAATTGCACACACGATCTGATAAGTGAGACAATTTATTTAATTTATAACAATGGCGACAGCGAAGCACACCATTAATGCTAATGTGTCGCACGACTTCCCTCACGATTTGAAGTTTGAGACTGGTTTTCTGTTGAAATTCGTTGAAATTACCGAACAATTTGAACTTATTATGTTTACGGTAAACATAGTTCTAATAGTTGAATGCAGAACATTTCAAACTGATTTTACGAACAATACGAAGCGTTTCAAGTTAAAATTTTACATTAAATAAAAACACTGTCTGACACAAAAAGCAGAATAACATACCTACAGTATATATTTCGAAAATTTATTGTTGTATAGCTAAAAGTCCTAATCTTTTAGCTATTTTGCCGTTTTGTACAAAAAAATATGAAAAATATAGAAAATTTAAAAATATCTTGTTGTCATGGCACCACTTGAACGAGCCTGCGTTCAGTATTGGCCACTTCCAAATACTTCGTGTTAATTCGACGTTTGGAAAATATAGGCGAGGGGTTGCTGCATGCATGTATATCTAGTAAATATATAGATAGTTCTGAATCTAAAAAAAATTGAATTGATCATTAGTTGTAGAAATTAATATTTTTCCCCGAGAGAACGGCGCCGAAGCGCCGTTCCGGGTGTAAGCCAGGGGCGAGGATACTAATTCCGCCCGGCTATTTACATCCAGGCGTTTGAGCAACCTCGTTCCCAGGGCTTCAGTGTGGGACGAGGCGAGACACGAGGAAGCCCTGGTCCGGGCCGGTCACGTGACGTCAAAAAATGGCAGTATTTGACAGCTATACTCGTCAAGGAGTAGCGAGATATTCTTTAATGAAATATACAAGTCTTCGAAACAAATAAATAGCCAAAAGACTTCTCAATCGATATTATTTATGTGTAGAGCGAAGTTTGACACGAATCAGCTAAAATCTATGAAGATCCCGTCTATGTTTTCTAAGATATAGCGATATTTCTGGAGATTTTCAACTACAGGCAAAGCTCTGCATCCAAGCTGCATCTAGGCGTCTCCATGCAAGTGGTGATTCACACGAAATTTCCTTTCTCTCGTCTTGAACAATATGGCTATTGCTATAATTAATATTTAGTTTAAATATGCTCTTATAGATCTGACTTAGTTCAACATATTAAATAAACACAAAAATAAAACCTCGCGTAACCTGTTTACGCTATACAGGAATGTACGGTTCGCTTGTTTCGCCGGACACCAACACTTGCCGTTCAGGAGCAATGCTTGCCTACAAATTTTATCCCCTTCACAATCTTTGTTTTATTTTATCGTATAGTCGCAATTTTCAAGTATTCGGCGTATTCTGAAACTGAAAAACTGGGTGGCGTGCGTATCTTGTAGACTACATCGGCCTAGGCGTAGAGCTATTAAGTAAACAGGGCCTAAATTAATTTAGTAGTTTCATTTAATTGTTTGTCTTGCTTTTATTTGTCAGTACAAAATATTGTAAATTAAAATATTACTACAATGCAATACGCGTAGTATTTCATCAGACATCTGCACTAATAAATACTGTACAAGGAAAACTTAAATAATAGTAGACATTTCTTGTTTTGTCAGGAAACATCACAGCTCACTTCGACACGGCTTTTGAGTTTTGTAACCGGCCGAGGCGAAAGCAAATCGTGCAGTCGGGAAACGTCTTACTTTGAAAGATTATTTTGCAAAGCATAGTCGTACACACAAGAATCATAAAAATACAAATGTTGAATTGAATTGTAATTTGTTTTGTCAACCGTCAAGTTCTGTTATTTTTAGACAATATGGTGTCAGCCAATCAGAATGCAAAAGTGACCGGCCCGGACCAGGGCTTCCTCGTTTCTCGCCTCGTCCTCACAGTGAAGCACTGGGAACGAGGTTGGCGTTTGAGCACATAGTGAAGTGCAAAGTTGTCCTCCATTTGTGATGGATGGTCTTCGACGTTAGGCGTATGTGCAAGTACAAGCTCGCGCTAAAAAATGTTTTTCATTTTGCAAAGATGTATTTTGCTGTTTTACATTATGTTTTTGCGATGTATTTCGCTTTTAACTGAAAACAAGCCTGCAGTATCATGAATTAGTGGTTGTGAACTGTGGAACAAAGTGTGAAATGCATAAACATGAACCAGATGCTTTTAACAAATTTTAATTAATAATCGTTGTCTTGGGCCTTTTGGCTATGTTTGGAATTTGGATAAGCGCTGTAATTGCTTTGTGTTTTCGTCCTTATTCATATCTATATTAAAGCAAGGTGTCGATTGCTATCTCCCACAAAGGACAGTAAAAGTTCACCAGACAGATCGCCCATGGATGACAAATAAACTCAAGATATGGATCAGAAAATGCCACACCGCATTCCAAAGACATGGTAAAAACTCGTCCATATATAAACACTGGAGGAATAAAATTCAAAGGTAATTAGAGCGGCCAAGTCACATTATTATAGACATAAAGTTGCAGAACTGGGACAGACTAACCCCCGGAAATGGTGGAAACAAATAAAAAGTCTTATGGGACAAGACATTCAACAGGAGTGGCATTATCAATTTCTTTGTGACAATGGGAATGTTAAGATACTCGCAGATAGAGTTAATGACTTCTTCTTGAGCATAACTGAGAACTTTTCAACGTTATCGCCTCTTTGTCCAACTCAGCATGTCCCAAACGAGTTCCCTGTTTCCGAAGCAGAGGTTTATCGATCATTGTCATATCTGCAAGTAGCCAAATCTGTTGGACCGGACGAACTCCAAAATAAAGTATTAAAGGAATTTGCTACGGAGCTCTCTCCGGTCATTCAGGATATTTACAATCAGTCCATTATCGAAGCATATATCCCAGATTTACTTAAATCCTCAATTATATCTCCCATACCGAAAGTAACCCCACCACAATCAATTGAAAGCGCCTTACGTCCAATATCCCTAACATGCAATTTGGCTAAAATTATGGAGGGATTTTTCTGTAGGAGACTTCTATCACAGCTGACACGAAAAATTGACCCCCGTCAGTTTGCTCGTAAGGGTCACTCCACTACGGATGCACTAATATTTTTGCTTGTAGCACGTCTGCGAGACGATGGATAGCGGAAATGCTTGTGCTCGTTACTTTTTTTGTCGACTTTAGCAAAGGGTTCGACCGTATTGACCATCATGTTCTCATGCAGGAGCTGATGGAATTGGATATTCATCCTGTCTTATATAATTGGATTAACACTTTTCTTTCAAATAGAAAACAGGCTGTCAGGATAGGGGGTACTTTGTCAGACTGGAAATCCCCAAATGGTGGTATACCTCAGAGAACTAAACTTGGTGTTATTCTTTTCTCGGTTATGACAAATAAGCTAATATCTAACTGGCATTTAATTAAGAACAAAGTTTGTCGATGACACAGCTGCGCTAGAGATCTTTCTCAGGAACTCAATCAGTTATCTGAACCATACAGTAGATGAATTACATCAATTCTCTATAAATCATAACATGAGTCTCAACCCACTTACATGCAAGGAGATGGTAATTAATTTTATGAATAATAACAACTCCATAATGAGGCCTTTTGTAATAGGCAGCAATGTAGTAGAAAGGGTAACCAATTATAAATTACTTGGAGTTCAATTGAGTGAGGATCTCAAGTGGAATAAACATGTTGATTATATCTACAAAAAAGCTTGTAAGAAGCTATATTCCCTCCGCGTACTTCGTAGAGCTGGCGTTGAGCAAAATAATATACTAAAAGTGTATCTAACTGCTATCAGATCCGTATTGGAATATGCTGTTCCAATATGGCAAGCGATCCCTGACTACTTAAGTGAAAGGATAGAATCAATACAGACAAGGGCACTTCGAAACAT